TTGAATCAGCTGCGAGGCGGCGGGTGACCGTTGAAATCTTTCAAAAATTTATGCGCGAATCGGGCGCAATTAGCGAAAAGCCGGGATAGGCCTCAAAAAGCGCCGTTTTTAGGTTGGGCCCAGCTTATCCCATCGATTCGCCATTATTCGGCAGGGCTCGGATTAGCCGGGAAAGGGCCCCGGGGATTGCCGTCATTTTTTGAGAATATTTTTGTTTGTAAGCGATTCGTATAGTGGGTGTAAATTTAGAATATGAAGTGGTTCGGGGGGCAATTTCCTATTTCTTAGGATCTAATTTTTAAAATATTAACGATGGAAGTGTTTCTAAACGGTTTTTTTGGCTATTCCCGAAACGTGAAAACTTTACAAAATTTTAGTAAAAAATAACAAAAATAAAATTTTTAAACCGAAATGGCCGCCGATTTTTGAGCAAAATTTCGGCTTTTTGGATAGCTTTTTTAGGTGAAATGTATCTTGCTACAAACACCATTAAAACACTTCCTATTCAATTACTAGAGATTTCACGGCATACAAAAATCCCCCCCGATAATGCGAAAGAACCTAACACAGATAACCACGTCGCGCACTTTCCAAAATCTGGAAAATGTATCTCTTTCTCGTTTTCCGTATCCCGCATCGAAAAGCTACACGCGAAGCCGAGCGAAATCAGCTGACCAAACCCACTCAACCCTCGTCTCCCGCCGGATTGAGGGAAATTTCAAGGTGACAAAGGCCGTCCGCCACAGTACCCATTTTGAGGGAAGAAGGAGCGGATGGGGCACACAGCAGGGACGATCTATTAGCAACCCAAGGGTCTCTGTCTGTCTGCCCATCTGTATCCTTCTTTTTCGAAGGTTTTCCCCTTTTTTTCTTGGCACTTCCGTAGCGTCGAATCTCAGAAGTGGTCGTCGTTTTTCGGGAAGAAAAACAGGGTCGCTGTTGTCCATCTGCTCCCAGTCACCCTAATGACCAGCGCGGGGTATAAAAGCCACCCAGCTGGCCGTATCGATTTCGCGGGTCAGCTCGCAGTTTATTTGATGGCTTTTATTTCTTGAGATTATTTTATGAGATTGAGAATCTTACGCTGTAAAGAGTATCAAATGGATTTTTCTATTTTTTAGCGTTTAATAACAACGGTTTTTAGATTGGATATGATTTTAGAGAGACTTTATGCGCAGTTTTCTATAAAATTATCTAGAAAATTTAGGTCATTATCCGGTACAAGTAGGATAAGCGGGGGGAAAATTTTAGGCGGGGGGGAAACCAACTTTTTCCTGATCGGCCCTGGTGGGGATAGTAATCAAATATGAAGTGTTTTCACATTGTTTTTAGCAAAATTTAAGCCTATTTGAACCCGAAAAATTTTTTAAAAAGTTAGAAAAACGCTTGAAAAAATCGAAAATTTGGTCATTTTTGGGCCGAAAAAAGTGATTTTTAGACCTAAAATTAAATTTTTTAATTAAGTTTTGTAAAGTTTTTATGTTTAGGAATAGCTATAAACAATTTAGAAACACTTCCATTATTTATATAAAAAAATAGGCTTGAGCGGAAAAAAGTTGGTTTCCCCCGCCTAAATCCCCCCGCTTATCCTACTTGTACCCATTATCCTAGTTGAGCAATTGAATGAGAGCGCGGTTTGAGCAACAACTTTTCAGTTGTCGAAACGTTTTTTTCTGAAAAGTTGCTAAGATGTTATGGTAACAATTTGGAAGGATTTATCTAGGAGCAAAAACGAATGCAGAAAAAAAGTTGTAGCAAAAACGCGCTTGATCTTTCTAGCCGTTTAAGCCTGTTTTACTGGTACGTAACACGAAATTCTGAAAATCTGCACACAGCCCCGGAATTTAGTCCATTTTCGTGTTCCGGCTATCCGACCCTGGCCGAACGCCCCGGAGATGGATCATGATCACCAGCCGGGTGGTTGTGGCATGGGACATACGAGAGGGGGAATAGTTGACTGTTTGGCGTCTCACGCCGTCTTTCCCCCCCTCCCGTCGCATTTACCCGCCTCTCCAGACCGTCCCGAAATGTTTGTGCGCATCTTTTTTTCTTTCTTTCTTCAGTCTTTCCGCTCTCTTCGGCGCGGCCACTTTTTTTGCGTGCAGAACCTTGTCACAGCCGGCTGCCATCAAGTTGCCGAGTAAACCCGGGGGGTCGACCCCGCGACTAACCGTTACGCGCAGCCCGTTACCCATTTTGTTATCGTTAGGTTTAATTTTGGGGTTTGAACAGACAACAAACCCAAAAATAATGAACCACAAATTAACTCTGCTAGTAACCCCTTACTCTTCTAGAATCGATAATTTAAATCGTAAAACTTCATATTTTAATATCTCTCCCCGTTCCACCGTTCTCCCTTTCAAAAAAACCGGTAAAATTTTTCAGGATGGACCCCGGTGGCGGCCGAGAGAGAAGAGACAGCACATCGTCCACCGACTCTTGGAGCATCGTCAATGTCAGTGCATTTTCGTGCGGTTAAACTGAAAGCCAAAAAGTAGAAAGAGACGAAAACTTTTTAGCGATCGTCCTCGGCCGCCTCAAGCCATCTTTCTTCTTCTATCTCCTACTGCTCATCACCACGGGCTGAAGAATTGGAAGATGACGTGCAGGTAATTCAGAAAACTTTTTCTAAAAAGTTAAATTTTAGGTCAGTGACTGTGATTCGGAACTGACGACTGAAGACAGTGACTTGGAGGTGCTTAAACAGAGAATTTAGCATTGTTTTTGGTTTCAGATTGAAGATGAAATGATGCAAGAGGACATCATGGACGAGACCGAGGGAGAGGAACAGGAAGATGAGGATGAAGATGAGGAGGAGGAGGAGGAGGATGCGGATTATGACAAAGTTTGTGATAAAAATATTTACATCGTCGAATCGAGTGTTTAGATGTCGGCTGAGGAAGCTGAAGCGGAAGGGGAGCAACAATCCCTTCACTACGTGCCCCCGGAATACTCGGCCACTCTGCTTGACAATCTGGGTTAGACCTCTGACTCCTCAAAACGTGCTCCGTCTTTTCAGGACAATCTCCATACGGTCGTGTGCTCGGTGAACACCTACCGAGTGCATTGGCTGGTCTTTTGACCATCGCATCTATTGGCATCTCTTTGAGCGTCTTCACCAATCAGGAGCCCGTTTCACGCCGGATTGTTAGTTTTTCGAATCGGTCTTGTATTCTGATGAAACTAGATCACTTCCGCTTTTCAGGTAATGGATGAGTGTAGCCTGCAGAGCTACGCCGCCATGGGACCGCGCGTCTACAGGCCCTTGCAATTGCAGGCCGACTGGCTTCGGCAATTCAAACTTCAGCCTGCTAAGAATGAGTCGAGACTGCCTGTTGTGGTTTGTCTATTGAGAAGATTCGACAACAATCGCCTAGGAACCAAAAGCACCAAAAGATCTATTCGGGGCTGCCGTGAAGGGCGAATTCGAGCGATTGACGCTGCAATGGAAAACGCCGGAAACAGCCAAAAAGAGCGAAGTCTCGACAACACACTTGGTAATTTGAGAACTGGTTTTGAAATCCTTTCTTAGAACATCTCGGGGGACTATTGCTTCCGAAACGGGCCTCGCCGACGATCTCTACTCGTTGTTCCACGACCGGAAGTCTGCATCCCAATCCAACTCCCCCAGGCGCCCGAATTCACAGCGGAAGCCAAGCCCACCTTATCTCATATAGTAGGTGAACAACATATTGGCCTGAGAATATCAACAAAACATAAAAAATAGATGAGGAATTGACCGCTTAAACTAATTAATATAGCCATTCCGCCCGACTACTCCACGTGCCAGAACACCCACTGTCGTGCGACCGGTTCCGCCGACTCCTGCCCGGCCTGCACCACCAGTGAGCTGGCGACGACGACATAATAAGGTACGAGAACAACAGCAAGGCTAAATACGCAACAATCTAGCATAAGAAGACCGTCCCCCTGCAAGTGTGCCCAAAAATCGTTAATCCGGCACCGAAGCCTAAACAACGCCGTGTTCTACCGCCCCGTCCCATCAAAAAACTGCACAAGAGAACCCAGGTAATTTTGACTTTTTTAGCTGCAGTCCTACGACCTTTACAGCTCCTCAAGGTCGCGCCGCTGCAAAACCAATGCCCCCGGGCCACCAACGTGTCTATGAAGCCAACGAAGTCGAAATACCTAGCGCCGCCCCCACGGCATATTGTAAAGCACCACAAGCAGAGGGTGGGTTTAAGCAGCAATGAATTCAATGTTTCTGGAATTCTAGAAACCTTTCTCCCCTGTGCAGCCCTCTTACCAGCCATGTAAGCCATTGCCCCAACCCCAGCCAACATGGCAACCGCGTCGCAAATTTGGCGATGTTCTGCTGCGCGGTTCAGTAGGTCTACAAAGAAATCTAGGCCGACATATTTTAGGAAGGTCAAGTCCGTCTGACGCCATCTATGCCCAAGAAGGTAGGACACGCCCTCATCAAAAGATCATATTGAATTTCAGAAACTACGCCGCTCAAAAGTCATGGAACGCGGGCTGATCAGACGCCAATAAACCCCACTTCAGACACTCCCGATTTCTGTTCTTGTACAAACCCTTTCCGGTGATGACCCACATTATTCCCCTTGCCCACCTTTCAGGACACGCTTGCACATACCCCGCACTTCATAATCTGCACATATGTGACCGATAAGGCCCCTTTCTGATGGTTCCTATAGTCGTGGCTAGAATTTTCGATTTTTGGAGCTGACCCCCACAGCGTGTACACCATCCCCCCTGCTACAGTTTCCGACATAATGATCAGACATTTTGCACAATAATTTTTTTCAATTACATTTGCCTTTCCGATAAATGATTAAGAAATAACCAAAGGCAACGCAACTTTGAAAATCCACACCTAGAAAAATATACTAGCCGTTAAAACGCGTTGTAATGAACCTCAATGAAAGCCAATCCAAATTACTGAGACATTCATTGAGACTCAAACGATTAGTAACAAGTCAATAACAACAAAGAACATAGAAACAACAACAGACTCAGGGATATCCGGCGAACAATTTGAACAGGAAAAATGCAATTAGAACGGTTAGCAGGGCAAAGAAAAACAATTTAGGATTGATTATGTTTGAGGAGGGTCGGCTACGAGCCTGGCTCGGCTTTGACGGCCGTGGAGGTAACGGATTGACCGGCTCCGACGACATGTGAAATTTGGAGACGCCCGTGATTCGTACGCGTACCCATTGGCCCATCACTTGGTCTAGAAACGGTAATATTTTGCGTTGAATCAAGATACCGGGATTCGGAACAAGGATGTGCTCATAGTTTTTGTTGTGCCCGACACCGTGGACCCCATCGCTGGCCATCTCACAAACCAGTACGTCCATTTCTTCGCCGATTCGAGAGTCGTCGTACCGAGAATAACTCCTGAAAATTTTCACGAATTGGCCGAAGCGTGAAAGTGTCTACCTGAACAGCTTGCTCATCTCCGCAGTGCGCCTTTTAGCTTCATCATTCGGAACCTTCTTCATACGCGCTGCAGGCGTTCCAGTACGCGCGAAAAACTAGAAACAACCAAATTCGATAAAACGTCCAACAAATACCTGGTTGATGAACAAAGAAGGGAAGCGATAGTCTCGTACAAGTTGCATGGATTCCTAAACTCGAGATATAATTGAGGATCATTAAATTCCTCACCTCAAAATCCTCCACACCTTCCGTTGGGAAGGCGCAAATCATATCCGTCGCTATATAAATGCCCGGGACGCTAAAAGGATTCTATTGCCGGAAATAACGATCACTTACTTTCCCTGCATGTAATCAACAATCTGGCGAAAATGATGGCTGTTGTACTCGCGTTTCATGTCACTAAAATGCATGAATACTAGGATAAGTATACTCACTTTAAGACGCCATCGCTGCCGGATTGTACTGGGATATGTAAAAAGGCGTAGACTCGTGGATGGCGAAGGATCGCTGCGATTTCCTAAAGCACTTAATTTTTTCAAATTTTTTATTTTCTATTTTGTTATCGGCTTCCTAACCTTAAGAATATTTCAAAGCTTGGAGAGAGAAATTTGTGTCAAATATTTCTAGCAATGGGAGCACCTCCAAATGGTCGAGAATATATGGTGGATTAGTCATTCCAAGTCGCATCATGCAGCCTTCGGGGACCACTTTGATCAGCTCGTTGAGTAAGTCGGGCAAAACCTTAAAACACATATCAAAATACGTGTTAAAAACACACCAAGCCGATATCCCGACCATAAGCTCCAAGATCTTCGCTGGTCAACCACAGCTCTTTGACGCCATCTCGCTCAAAAGCCGTTCGAGCCTGTTCCACCTAATGAAAAAATTAGATAACTTCCAACCAAGATCCCACCAATTCCTCAATCGGATAGCTCTTCAAATCACCGCGTGCCAACTTTGTCTTGCAATAGGTGCAATGGTTTAGACAGCCCGTATTTATCGCCAAGACCTAAAAATACGTTTAGCATACCAGGACTTCCTCCTACCTCTACGAGTTCATTCTTTCTCATCTTCGGCAATGACAGCCCGGCATCAGGCCGTCGCCTCGATAACAACCTCACAGTATTGCCCTTTAGTGTTTCTTCTACCACCTGAAAAGCGCAAATTAAGTGAAATCCTACTATATAAAAAAAAATAGTGTCTGTGTGTGTGTGTGTGTGTATGTGTGTGCATTTGCATGCAACTTCCGTCAGCGTGTTCCAGCAGTATCTCAATAAGGGGGGGTAGTTAGGGGTATGTTTTATACGTCATTCGGTGCGCAATGGTCTTGGGATGACTGCACACTAACAAAATTTTCAAAAATTTGCTGTTTTTGACGTTAAAATTAAGTTTTTGTTGAAAAATCCAGGACCCTCTTTGTTAAGAAACAATTAGCATGCGCCGGAAATTGTGGTAGCCTATATAAAGGGAAGAGAGGTAGCGTTTCTCATTTTTTGTCATAAAAAATCGTGAGAATTATTTAACGCGCAGAATATCATGGGATCAGACGGGGCCAGGGTTGAAAAGTCGCGAAGCGGCTTTTCAACCCTGGTTTCTTTGAAAATAAAATACCTCAGTGATGCGATCGATTTGTTTGACGCCGACGATCGAAATCCCTTTTAGCCACGGCTCATCCGGTGCAGCTTGACTCACGCAGCCGGCCATTACAATTTTCTTGCCGCCGCCTTGACCTTCTTTCACCAAGTTGGATGCCTAAAACTAATCTTAGCAATTCAGTTTCATAAAAACCTGCTGCTCCGAGGGAGTCTTGACAGTGCAAGAATTCAAGACCCAGACATCAGCCGCAGTCTTGTCCCCAACGATTCGGTACCCACTATTCGCTAGGATTCCCGCCATGTACTCGGAATCAGACGAATTATGGCTACAACCCCACGTTCGAAGCCACACCGCGCACGTACCTACAGCAATATAAAAGTAAAATTATCGAAAATACCGGGTACAAATGAATCCATCTGGCCTTTTTCTTGAGCATTATTCTTCTTTGTGCTCCTGATTTTGACAGATACCTAAAATACAATAAGCTCACGCCTAGTCAAGGAAAATTACTTCTTCTCCAGGGTTGGCCGGCCCGGGCAGGTCACCAAAGCTGTCTTCAATGTCGCCCATTGGCTAAATGCCCAATAAACTTGCAAATGGCGTGTCTGTATAGGTAGCCTGCTGATTCGCGACATTTCATAACAAAGCTGTCTCAAAACTACAAAAACTTTTTTATTTTGAACAAGGAAATTGAACTGAACAATCGAGAAGGCAAAAGGATAGTGGCAATTCGAGACAGTGCGTAATACGGCACCTAGAATATAAATACAATAGACATTCGAGCCATAATTTGGATGCAAAAGAAGTGACTAGGGTGATGTGCTGAAAGAGATGATGAAAGAAGGAAAAGAGCAAACCATGCTTGAGTAACAAAAGGCGAGGTATTTACTGCTTGTGCAGAAAGAGGGAAGAAGAGCCGAGCACGATGTGGTATGTGGGATGATGAGCAACTCTGTTTAGAAGCCAGCCTCCTCCGCCCGGCCCCGAGGCACCTCGAAAGCTCCAAGGACGTAAAACTGTTCAAAGAATACTGTTGCTACATTCTCACAGGTAATTGTGGAAATAATGGGGGAGGGGATAGGGCAAGAAATAAATTATTAGCTAGGGTTAAGATACGTTTCTGACGAAAGATGTATCATAGCTGGTGATCAGAGTCTTCATAAACGTCATCTCGCGTCGGGTGTTGTCGAAAATGACCCTCGGATCCTCGGATTCACACCTAAAATAAGGTTGACAAAGAAATGGGTCATTACGAACCTCAAAACATTTGGGGCGATCACCATCGCCAGATTCGAGCTATCCATCTTTGTATGCGCCACGACGTCGTCCTGCGCCAGATCTTGCAACAGAGAAATCAGCTTGGCCAGGACCAGTCGATTTACTAAAGCGTTGATGTTTTTGAGGCAAAAGTTAACCAATATTACCGTTCGGCAAAAGCTCCGTGATGCGCGCAGTTTCAGCTGGGTTATCGCAACCGGCAAGAGCACGCTGGTAAAACTGATGGGGAATGAGCGGCTCGGGCAGTTGACGAAGCCAGAGCTTCAGAAGAGCCGCTGGCACATGGGGGTCGTGCAAAACCGGAACCACCTAATCACAAAATTACAATTTAATAATCGATTTAAAACTGACCCATTGGTCCAAACGGGCCCTGGCAGTGTTCATTTGTTCCGGATCGGCCGGAACTCGGAAAAGCCCCTCGGTCAACGTTCCGCCCTCTCGCATCAACAGCTCAATCAAGGTAGTTTCAATCCAGGGTAACTAAAAGTGGCAGATTAAAACGGTTCGAAATAAAAACCGGTACCTGAAGATGTGGAAATTTGCCCGATTGCATCTCCATCAATTCGTCCAGATTGGCCGAGAATTGGGGAGGATTGAAGATGTGAACACGGGATTCCCTAAAAATTCGGATTCTTCAAAATAAATAATTATACCTGGACGGTGGCTAAGGTCGGCTTCGTCTTCGGTTGGCTTTTCTCGAGCCGCTTGTGACATTGGTGCGCGAAATTGGAAACAGCAACCTAAACCACACATTGAAAAATGGTGTTAAATCCTTTTTTACCTCCGGCGAATCCAGGAGACTGTCCGAGTTCCTTTCCAGAAATACGGCCACCTTTTCCGCCATATCGGGGGAGGGAGACACCAATGCCAGCAAGATAGCAAGCAATTCCCAGCCTCGCCTTAAAAAATACGTTAATTTTTTCGAAAAGTTTTTACCTCAAGCTATCCGGTCGAATATTGTCGGTCAATTGCTGCATCAGCAAGGCGACAGCTTCGTCAGCGCAATCTTTCCGTCCGAATGTCAACTCGCAAAGGGAGAGAGCCAACTAAAGAATTCGGATTTCAGTAAATAGATACAAACCTGATCTGGTGTCGACTTGCTCTTGCGATCGCCCATGTAGGATTGAATTGCTTTGAAGATTTGAGCCACTTCCTTTTTCAAAGCCTTAAAAAACATTAATCGATCTCGTTTTTCTTGATACCTTATTGTCAGGTGCAGTCAGCGGTGCCTTCGGTGCATCTTTTGACCAGCCGCCAGACTTGGTTTTTGGGGCCGTGTTGGTCGAGAACGTGAACGCCGATCTTTTCTGTTGGCTCGGAGGGGAGCTTGACCTGGGTTGTGATTAGAGTTTCTTACCTAAAAATACCTGCTCGAACGCGTCGGAATGCTGTCGGCAGAAGGAGCCGTTGAAAGCCGGCCGGGGCCAGTCGGGAATGGGGGAAGATTACGGATGACCTGTGAAGACGTCAGAGACCGCTCTGACATGTCATCGAGTGAGAGCATCTAAAACGACAATGTTGCATTTGACAAAGCTTCTTACGTCAAATGAAGTGTCCAATTCCCGATGGCTGTAGCTAGGGCTTCGACCCATAACTAGCGTGGGTTGTTGCGAGAAGACACCGCCAGTCCATTCCATAATCTCCCGCTCCCGTTTCTCTCTGGCTCTTCTGACCGCCGGTGAAGTCTGCGTCTCACAATGGCGTCGAGCCTGAAAATCAAACTGAACAAACTCATGAAATAAACGAACCCGTGCATGTTCAGCTTGATCGGTGTTTTCTTTCAGGGTCTGAAGCTTTGCCAACGGGATGATATCCGCATTTGCACCTGTCGGGCGGGCCCACATTGTCTAGGTCGCAATGGAAGCCAAGAAAATACACCCTACCTTGGAAGACGCAGCATTGTAGTAGTAGAAGCGGTTCGTATTCGAGTCAAAAAGCTCCCACCACTGATTTTCATGCGTGCGCTTGCTAAAGAATAAAATTAAGGTTATGCTATCCAAAAATATGACGAGAATTACTATTAGAACAAAGACGTACACCCTAGTCCCAATCGGTGGATCCCACGCGCATTTGCCAGTCGTCAAATTGGCGTACATGTGTTGCTTCGTCTGTGGCTCGACAATTTCCACCCATTCCCTAAAGCAAGTATATTCAATATTAGATTCATGACATACTCAGCATTTTTAGGTTCAATTTGAAGCTCTTGAGACGGGATGGCATCGGCCGGAAGACGATGGGAACTACCCGCTACCGGCGAGTAGTAGACATCATCACACATCGCCTAATCTGCAAAGAGCAAGAAATATTAACGAGTGATTGTTGAGAACATGAAGAACCACAGAGTATGCATCATTTGATTGCGGCACGATCATCTACAACGAATCTTGGCCACCAGTCGATCGATGGGAGGGGTGAATAAGGCCGTTAGTGTGTCAATTGACAACATACTAGGGGGCGGCTTGATTTCAGCAGACATCCGAAATGTCGCTGCGTAGAGCCAGTCAAATATTGGGGGAGCAAGGGCTTTTTCCATGCGAGCCTTGCCAACCCTTAGCAGGGCCGAAAACGGCGTAATCGACCCCGCCGGCGTTTTGCATAATCTGCGCCTGACAAATGTGACGAAAAAGCCCAAAAAATGGGATTTGTAATGTGAAAGGTACAAATCAGCCGCTTAGGAAGGTATGCAGATTCTAGATCTGCAACTTTAAATAATCTGACTTTGACAAAAGAACATGCCAGAAGTGCTAATATAATTAATTACAATAATAAGTTCTTTATATAACGAACTTATTGGTAGAAAAAATTTTAAAAAATTAAAAAAAAAACGAAAAATAAAATCAATCTTCTGATTCCGCTTAGCTACTAAAGACAGAAACGTAGCGCTGGATTTGCGCGGAGCAGCCGGCGCTCGGATTTTCTATTTATTTTTATTTATAAAAAACTTATTTTATTGGCGCAAAATTTCTAAAAGGTCTAAATTGGCCTCTGAATCAATAAAGCATAGTTTCTAGGGGGTATAAGTAGGTGAGCGACTTCATCGGATGCATGCATATCCAATTATTGAGAACGAGGGACGCCTATCGGTCGATGGAGGGAAAGAGGAATGTCCACGGGCGGTCAGACACGTAGGCTAGTCGTTCCCCAGCCCTCTCCCTTTCCCTTGCGAAACTGGAAAACAGCTGGAACCGCGATAGGGAGGGGGCAGCCGATCGACAGGAATTATTGACCTTGCGTCCGTTTCTCTTGCAAATTGCTCGCTTTTAGAGTCTACTTCCGCGTTTATCAGCGCTTCAAAATAAGCTTATACCGTTGGGTCATACTGTAGGCATTTTGTAGATCTAGAAGGCCAGGACGATTAAATGGAGATCAATCTTTAGTGCATTTGGTGCGGCTTTTTGCTCTCCAGCTGCATAGACGTTCTTCAAAAAGTCACCTAGCCAAAAATTTCAGCAGCGATGGAGGGCATGCCGAGGATGCCCGTCATCCTACCCGAAATACGGGTATGCCTCTGGAGGTTTTTGATCATTCTTCCTAGGTGGCAGCGTCAGAATTGCCCCCGGAATTCGGCATGGCCATCAAAGAATACATCTTGATCCACTTTGATCAAGAGCCCACCGACTACGATCGTGCAATTCAGGAGATTTGCAGCCTCAGACAGGTCTGACGGCACTGAGTTCTGGAATTATTGGTTTTTTTTTAGAAAGTTGCTCATCCGACGCCAGATATTGAGACGGCTTGCATACTAAAGCGCTATTATGGGCAGCTGTTGATGATGAAAAGTCGCTTTCCATTGGAAGAGGACGACGAAATTGTGCGGATGAATGTCGGCGGCGATGCATTCTTTGCATGGTGATACTGGAGGAAAGGGGATAGCAAGAATTTTAGGGCCGATCAGTCGGGTGAAATGCCTCATATTGCCGCACACAACGATATCAATTTTGAAGTGGCTAGCGTGCTTTTTAATATCGGTGCTGTCCATGCAGCGATCGCCGGAGCGGAACGACGGGATTCTGAAGATGTTTGTTAGGCTAAAAGGAAGATAATTATCCTTTTAGTCGATCAAGACGGCATTTATGAATTTCCAATGCGCCGCCTGGCCCCTTCAACAGATTCGAGATAACATCAGAGGCGAGCGCTTCAACACGATGGACTTTGAAAAGGACCATCTTACCTTCCATATGAACATCCTCTTGGTAATCTCTAACATAAGCGTATAATAGTATCGATTTAGGCGCAAGCCCAGGAATGCCTGATAGAAAAGAGTTTGATCGACCATCGATCCCACGAAGTCGTTGCCAAGCTGGCGGTCCATTTGCGAGATTTGTATCAGTAAGGCAAAGAATTCGAATTGCGATGTCGGAGTTTTAGGGAATGTGGAAAGCACTTAGAGACTTCTTCCCTCAGCGACTCCGTGACTTCCTCTAGATATAGGGTTGTTTAACGTATCTTTCTAGAACCTAACCTCTCTCAGGAATGGCATCGCACGTGTACGGCCAAGTCCGATCTTTTTGGCGCCATCGCAGCTCTGCATATGGGGATGAAGGTCTGAACATTGAGGAGTTTCAAAAATAAGTTTTCAGCATGAGGACGAGAAACAAATGGGATTTCGTCTAGCCTACTATGCTCATGCAATGAATCATATGAAGGTATTTTGAATAGAAAAGCAATTTTTGATTTCTAGAGGGCATTGCTGATTTTGGATAAAGATAAGCGAGCCGAGCTTCACGTGTCCGCCAATTTTTTGTACGATGTCGTCGCAGCAAAGTCAGTTTTCGCTCAAAATTCTATCCAGGTTTCAGGGAACAAAATGCGCGGAAAGAAAATGATCTGATTTATCACGAGCGGATACCGAAAGATGATGAAATTTCGCTGAAGGAGGTTCGTGCTGAAAAATATAGTTTTCGCTGTTTCTAAACAGAAAAGGGAAAATTTTCTTTTTAGGGGCTTGGTAAAGTAAAACCAGCTGCATTCGATCCATTTGACGTCTCGATCAGCGGAGAAGACCTTTTTTCCGCGCTTCTTCCACCCACGGTTTTAAAGGTAACCTTTCTTTGGAATTTTCTAAACCCGATTTTTAGGCCGTCAGTCTGTATGAAGAGGAAAAAGCCAAACTGAAACGAACAGTCCTGGAAAAAGTCAACGCGAAGGATATAGAGCTCCAGTCAGTCCTTTTCTCCCTGTCGTAACCTTGCTTTAGTGAATTCTTGGAGCGGTTTGGGTTCGATCGCCTGACTGCTGATGAAAGTGGGGCCATCCAACTCCCCGACGAACTTCTACAGCGCAATGCTTCTTTTAACACCCAACCCGATTCCATCCCGCAACTGTTGGAAAAGTTGTCGAGTACGTAGATTCATTTTTTAGCCGAATTTCGAGCAATATGGACAGTATTTTTGATAGAAAGAAATATTTTTAAACTAGTTTTCAAGGTTAAAGTTTAAATATTTTTTAGATGTGAGCGCAAATGGGGAAACTACGGCCAATCGAGTAGCTGACGTTCTTCGTCGACTCAACGGTATTGATCTGCCGAGCATCCTGGAGGACGAGGGTTACAAGACGATCCAAGCTGAAATGGGCCGGATGGCTGATCAGCTTCACATTACTCGGTATGTCTTGCATATTCGCAAATATCTTCCTAGAACCCGAAATTCCGAAGAACAACGTCGAATCGCAACCCAAAGCGATGCTCTTCATCTATTGGCGCTTCCGCTGCCTCGATTGACCGAGAAACTGTCCGATTCGCAAGGGAAGCCAGGTTTGATGCACTTTTTTTCTCTCCGTTTTAGGGTGATAACTACAAATATCGAAAAACCTTTTAAACAATCCCTTATAGGTCCCTCGGCCGAAGGTGTTGTTCTCAGACAAATGCTCGACAAGACGAACGAAATGTCGGCGCAGCGGGTTTGCTAAGTTTCACATATAATTTTTTTTTCTTAAGGTGCTATTGTTGCAACGATTGGACGATGAGATGAAGCGGGATAACATTGGCAAGCGCCTCTTGGCCGAGAGGGATCAGAACAATACGGTAATTCGGCATCACAACCGCTGAATTATTTTTTCGCTTAGGCAACCTTCGCTAAAGAGCTGGAAAAACATGGAACCACCATTCAATTCATTGAACAAAATCTTGGTGCCCAAGATAAAATATTGCACGCGCTAACCGAAGCAAACGCCGACTTCTCGGATATCAGACACAAGATGGAGCGCGAACAAGCCGCGTACGATAGATTATAACGTTTTTAAAGCTTGTTTAGACGACTCGAACGGGTGGCTCAGCTCGTCTCCGCTTTTGATGTATACCTGGAGGTGCTGCGGAATGCTAATAGCGCTCTAAATGTTTTGGATTCAATCAATAAGCGGGTCGACAAGATACTACCCGCCCTAGATGCGATGGAGACAGCTAGTGAGTGAATTGTATTGGGGTAAATTTATTTTTGAAGATTTTGCCGAAAAGGAGAAGCGTGATGCGGAGAAGAGGGCATTTGCTGAAAAGATGGAGAGGCTGAAACGCGAAAAAGTAAGGATTTCTCTTTTCCCAGATTAATATAAAAATAATATTTGTAATGAGTTCCATTTAAGGAAGCGCGCGAGGCGATGGCCGAATTTTCACACGATGCGATGCCCAGCCAGATGACCCCTCCCATGGCCCCTGGGCGCCCATCTCCATCCTCGGGTGTGGAGAGCTAAAACAAGTAATCTACAATTCTAGGCTCATCCGGCCGCCGAGACTATTACGAGTTCTTCAAGTCAAAAATGGGGCAGCCGCCATCTCAGCCAGGTCTTCCTCCACAACCAACACAGCCGTCGCCGAGTTCTCCAACACCCTCTGTTGTTAGCAACTATTCGTACGGAGGGCCAGGGCCAGATGGTAAGCAACACTAATGAACGAAATTTATACAAAGCGCGCTCGTGGCCCCGTGAAGAGGGTTATGATTTTTCAAAATTAAATCACTTGCTTAGCCATGGCAAATCATCATCCATACGCTCCGATGCCACAGCCAATGTATCAGCCACAACCACCTCCGACAAATCAGCAATTTTCGGTATTTCCCTGATTATACATTGGTAGAGTACGAGTTTTTAGCGTCCCTACTTCCCGCCAGCACATCACAGCCCATCGATGCCACAGCCGCAGCCATATCAGCATCCACATCCTGTCCAGCATGGTAGGTTTTGCTTTTCACTGGCTGTTTTTTTTACTATATAACCAACGTTTTTTTTATGTGGATCTGCAGCTGTATTATATAAATCAAGTTAAATTTACTCAACTTAATTAATTTTTCTTAGCGATGCCGACACCACCACCAGCGCATCCCTATACTCCTCCAGTCCCTCCCCAGACGGCCGCCGCTCCACCATACCCGAATTCGATCCATACAAGCCCGGCACAATATGCGAATCGCCCGATGCCAGATCATCAACATTACAATGGCCCATCGCCGGCACTGGATCGTTCGCCAGGAGTGCCTCAGCCATATCAACAACCACAGACCCCTTACCATGGATATTCACCGGCTTCTAGCTCGGCACCGGGTGTCACGAATGCCCCGCAACATCCAATCCAGAATGGGCATCAAATTCAACATCAAGCGCAGGTTTGGCTTTGGAAATCTAAACCCTAGTTGGTTATGGGGCGGGAGGCAAAAAGTCTAACGTTTCTTATCGTTTTGTCAGTAATCCCCCTCCCCCCACGCTAAGGAACCAGCGCCAGACAGTGTTTTAGCAGCCTCCCATCTCCTTACCGCCAGTTCAACATCAACAGTTGCCCCCCGTCAATTATGGATATCAGCAGGTTTGTAGAAAAACTTATCGGAAAAATTTACCTACGATAACACAAGCATTACCACCCCTTTAGGCTCCGGCTAGTGTACCACCACAACCCCATCAACCCTACCAACAGCAACAGGCTCAGCCTCAATTTGCTCATCCTCCAGTTGGTCCCGCCCCTCCCGCGCATTATCAACAACAGCAGCATCAGCCTCAGCTGCAGGTGGAATTTCTTTTTTGACTATTAATGCGTATTTAGAACCAGCAGAGACCAATGCAGAGCATGCAGCCATTGGCGGTACCGGTTGTCCCCAGCGTACCGATTCCGGTAAGCACCATTTGATTAACAACAACATCTAGAAAACTGTGATTCAAAAAAATAGTGGGAAATAGTTAATGGTATATCGATTTCTGTGTTTTAGGCTCCACAAGGTTTCCAACCAGCCGGCCAGCACTTGTCGGGTGGCACGCCTAACATTCCTCCAACTTCGTCGCATGGCACTTCTGGGATGCCGATGGGTCAACATTTTACGGTATCGTTATTGAGAAATTCTGTAAGGCACTGTGTTTCAGGGTCACCAACCCGCTCCAGCGCCACCACCACCCGTCAGCAAACCAGCAGATACGCACGCCGTCGCACCGTCCCCCTTCCATCCGATTCAGGTAAATGTTTAGTATTATTCTTGATTTCTTGCTCTTATTGTATTTCGTCTTAGAATCTGGCTGAAAATAATTATAATTTTTATTGGCTCATCTGCACCGTTTCTAAATGTTCCGAAATTGTCCGTTCACTCAAACATTTGTTTAGCCGGCAAGCGCGGCCAATACCGCCCCTGTTATACAGCCACAGCCTGTTTATGGAGCCCCAGCCGGACACAATGTAAGTTTTCCGATCTTGCATTTGCTGCGAAATTTGTCTGGAAAAATCTATACGATTTTAATTCAGGCCCTGAGTTCCGCTCCGTGGCAACAAGCTCGTGCTCAACCACAGCAGCAATACAGCTCTTCTCCGTGGCACTGCGGCGTGAATTGGCCAAATCAACAGCAGAACTTTGGGGCCCAGCCTGCTGCTCAATATGCTTCCCCACCGATGGCACAGGTGAAACCAAAAATTTTTTTAATATATTTAACTTTAGCCGCAATCTCAGCCTCAACAGCCCTTCGCCGCCGCACAGCCACCCATGAACAACGTTTCGCAAGGAAATATGGTTTGTTTCTTTGCATTTGGGGGTGCTTTTGCATTCACGGGGGGAGGGGGGACAAATTTTTCTATGTTCTAGATATTGGAAAAATAAATTTTCGCTACTGAGATTTTGGCTAAATTGATTTAAAACTTTTTTTAAATGACATTACTAGGCGTATCTGGATAAGGGAAACCCCCTGATAATGCGCAAGCTGTCATTTGGGAATCTTAGATTTTCCGGTTAGCAATCCCCAATACTTTCTAGGACCTACTCGGCTCCCTCCTCGGCGACCTGCAGTTGCCGGCTGCATTACAGCCTGTGTCGGGTACAAGGTTGCTAAATTCCATTGTACAACTCCCATCTAGGACCGGCGGCTGAACCGCGACCACCTCAGCCCCAAGATGCCGTCGTCTCCCAATCTCCCACTCAACCCAACAACTTTCCAAACGTCCCAATCTCACCTCAACAACCCCCGATTTCCAATCCCAAGTGCCTATCCGTTTCGCCGGTAGCTACGGTAGGGATAATTGATTTTCCAGGATTTTTTTTTTTTTTCAGATGCCCACCGCTGTTGTAAATCCCATGCCAAAGACCGCATCTTCGGCATCTTTTAACTCGTCGGCTTCCCAGGTTTGTGCCTTTTTTCTTTCTATATTATCATTTTTGTAGGGAACCGAGCTGTCAATATCTAGCACCATTTCCCATCACTATGGCCCGCCTCCGGCTACTCTATCCACTCATACGTCTTCTGCCAGTGTGCCCCCATCAAGGAGCGAGGCCGAGGAGAAGCGCGAAGTAAGTGATATTTCTTTGCCTTGCCTGTTTTCTCGATATTTTTACCTTTACTTAGCAAAAATACAAGCAAACTACCAAAAACGTAATTTATATGATTTTAGTGATTTGTTCATGTTTCTAAGAAAATTGCTCTAAAATACGGTGTATTTTAATGGTAGGTATTCAAAATCACAAAAACGTATAACAAAAAATAATTATAAGCTATATAAAACGTAAAATAAAGTTTATTTTGCAAAAACTCGAAAATTACTGTAGCTAAAAGGTTGAAATTTTCAGTGTTAATTTAAGTAGCTTTGCTATATAATAATAGTCTGCTTAAATTCATAAAGGCGATGTAAAAGTTGCCGATGGGTTTTAGCTGAGTTTTCAGGGTTTTTTGAGCCGCCCTACGGATTGCATAATCTTTTTTTCAGAGCGGCCTCCCCGTCAATGACCTCCTCGACCCTTCAAAATTCTGCATTGGCCCCGACTCTCGACAAAAACTGGAAAAGAAGCTGCTCCACGCCTCGTTCCATGGCAATGCCGCTCGCCCTAACCTCGACCCCAATGACCCCATCAATCAGTTAGACCCGTTTTGGAAGAATAAGTAATGTTTTATGCCCTCCTCCCCTCAATCCCGATGCCCTTTTCTCCTACTTATCGCGATTCGTGTTCCTGTTCCCGGCTCTTTTGAGAAGTGTGATCCGTCCTGTTCTCCGACTTGTCATAATGGTGTGATAACGCTTTTCTGGTTCTACTTGTATTTATCGCTCGCGAAATAGTCTATCAATAAACGGTTCTCTGAGACAAGGCCTTCCGGTCCGAAGAACACCTTATTTAGGTAATTTTTATCATTTGCCAGATGCATGAACGTTTGTTTTAGTGAATTGCAGATCTTTTGAAGTCGTTCCGACGTTGTAGAGTACTAGAAGGAACTGGTAGAAATGGTAGAACCGGATGATGGACGGAGCAAGGATAAGATGGGGCTGTATCAGTGCACGGCATATGTTATTGGTAAGTTAGCCTTTTTTGGTGGGTACGGGGGGGAATTTCGCGGGGGAAAAATTGGGCAAGAATATTTTCGTTTTTTGGTAAAAAAGACCAAACTATCAAGTTATTTCGGCTAAAATGGCGATTATTTAGTAAAAAGTCAATGTCGAAAGTTGAGTCCTCTGGATCTTCCATGAAAAACCGACTTTTTATTTAACGTAGTTATATAACACCATGAGCCAAATAACCCGCTTGGCAACCTTGGAGCTCATCGAATGGCACCCTTGAAATTGACTATCCGATAGCTCGGGTCCTTCGGACCCCCGGCCGAACCGACAGAGCGCAACTTGCAAAATTAGCAAATTTCTATTTTTAGCTAAAACAATTAGTAAATTCGAGCCATCAGGGAGCCCCAAAAATCAGAAAATAAACCAAAAGCTGCTTCTGTCCCAAGGTAAAATTCCCCACCCCACCCCCCGTAGCGACAATACCGCCTTTCTTTGTGGGATGGAGCGGAATTTGGCTAAATGAATAAGCATTGGTAAAAAAAAATTGGACCAAACTATCAAGATATTTCGGCTAAAATGGCGATTTTTAGGTTAATAAAGTCTATCGTCATAAAGTTGGTCCCCCTCGGATGATGCGAAAAACCCATTTTCATTTAAGGTAGTTATACAAACATATTTTCTATTTAAAAACGATGCGAAATCTCCACAATGGTTCGCGCATTTTCATCGAAAAAAATCAATTTTCCGATTTTAGAAATATTTCTAGGACCATTACTAGCTTGAAAACGACGTAAAACACTATAAAAACATTTTATTATAGGACCACTAAGGGATAATAAAAAAAGTTGAGTGCCGCCCCCGCTAACAATACTCTTCTTTTCAGGCAACATCATCGGCTCGGGCATCTTCATCACCCCCGGTGGTGTATTAGCACAGACAGGCTCCGTCGGTCTCTCACTCCTCGTCTGGGTCGGCTGCGGCATCATCTCACTTTTGGGCGCCGTCTGCTACATCGAGCTGGGCACAAGCATCCCCGACCCAGGATGTGACTTCGCCTACGCATGCTTTGTCGGCTGGGACATTATCGCTTTCGCCTTCATGCTGGTATGGTTTTTGTCACGAATTGCTTCCGGCGCTGGTTGGTTAGCGGGGGGAGCGTATTTTCGGCGCGGGGAAGTAATTTTCCCTATTGCCGTAGATGTCAAATAGTTAAATCAAAACTATTTTTGTAGCGTTTTATGCTTCCTTCAGACTCAAAAATTGATCAACGATTCAACTAAATCGAAAAATAGAATATTTCTAGTGTTTTTAGCGTTTGAAAACTACTAAAAACTATAAAAATAGTCTAGACTTTGTTGCAAGAAATGCAAGGCTGAATAATCGAATCCCCCCGCTAATGAACCAGGACCATCTTCAATCAGCTTCTAACGCAAATTTAGGTGAGCGTACTGGTCACCTTCCCAGCCAGTGCTGCCGTCCAAGCCCAGACACTTGGTCAATACATGAGTAGGTTCTCCTACTTTTTCACCGATTTTCTCCTCCCAGTCGAGGGCCTCAGCATCAGCATCGACCCATCGTGGCAGAGCACGGCTTCCAGAAGTATCGGCTTCTTGTGTCTTTGTGAGGTTGAACTCGGTCGATTTAAATTCGTTTCTAGTCGTCCTCAGCTTTGCCAACTTCTATCCGATCAGCAAGATCGCCGCCCGGATTCAGGTGATTTTTAGTTTTGTTTTTTTTGCAAAAAATTTTAGACGGTCAATACAGCTGCTAAAGTGCTGTCGATGTTGCCGATCATCGGGGCTGGTTTTTATTTTCTGGTCTTTCAAGGTGAGAGCTATAGAATAGTTCGTGTATTTGTATTCTAGGCAAGACTGAATATGTCAGCCAGCCCTTCGCCGGCTCAATCTGGGACCCAGGAATGCTCGGGCTCGCTTTCTACGGTGGATTGTGGAGTTATGCCGGCTGGGAAGTGCTCAACTATGGTACCCCAGAGATTGACAAACCGAGAAGGTACCGGGTTGCTTATTTATTTTATTAAGTAAAAAATATATAACCTACGGGCGTTTTTATCTGCGTCTTGCAAATCCTTTTTCCAGGACGATGCCACTGGCCTTATTTTCTGGAATCACAATCGTCACTGTCATCTACGCCTTCATCAACTTTGCCTATTTCGTCGTGCTCCCCGCCAAGCAGATCAAGACCAGCAATGCCGTGGCGGCTGTGAGTTGCTGGCGCAGTCCTAAACGTTTTTCTAGGACTTTGCCGAGGTCGCGTTTGGATCTTTCCGTTTCTTGATCCCGTTCATGATCGTGATCCTCTTGCTCGGCACGTTGAACACCAACCTTTTTGTTGGGTCGAGGGATTTGCAATTAAAAGAAGCAGCTTATCTTGTTTTTCAGAAGCATGCAAGCTGCAGCTCAGCGTGGTCATCTTCCCCCGTTTATTAGCTGTATTCAGAAAATTCATGGAAGCCCCAGAGTGGCTATTTTGCTGCAGGTAAATTATGCTACCATAAAGTACAATTAGAATTAGGCATTGCTTACGGTGGCTGTCTCCTTCTTCGACATCGATACGCTTATCAACTACGTGACTTTTGTGATGTGGGCACAGCGAGTCGTCACAATGTCGGCGTTGCTATGGATTCGTTACAGGAAGATTCCGGTTGATACAGGTCAGAACTCAGTAAAAAAATTGTAGCTAATTCCTAAACGAAAACGCCAAATTTTTTTGAAACACAATTTTTAGGTGCCATCCGGATGCCGCTGCCACTCTCCCTGATCTTTACCGTCATTTCGATTGCCCTGGTGCTCGTGCCCTTCTATCAAAATCCAGAGGTAACACCCGGTGATCCAACAAAAGCCCGAAAAATAGGTCTGCTTCATCGGATCATTGTGCATCTTTGGCTCGGCGGCTTTATTCTACCCGTTCATCTACTGGAAGGTGCCCGTCTTACCCCAGATAAATGGTTAGCAAGATTATAGAATTCTCTAAAAGTTTTCAGAAACGATTACAACCATGACCGAGCGCCTTTTCAACTCAAAACGAGATCTCTGGAATCCCCGCATTGTCGGCAGTATTGTTGAGGTTCGGATATTCTGAACTATGAATAATTTTTTTTAGAGCAATGTTTCACAAGTCGCGCGAGAGGCCGAGACCGAGCCCCTGCAAAGCCAATAATCCGTTCGCCGCTTGCTAGTGTTTTTCAATTTTCTTTCCCCGACACTTACACTTCTTCACTCTCTTCCCTCGTTGTTTATTTTATTGTTTTGTTGTGATAATTGCTCTGGGTACAAGAGATTTCAAAATCCATGATATCGCATCGCGCTTCCAACTCAGTGGTATTCCCAAAATCTTGTTGTCCATAAATTTGTTTGCGCTTGGGGAACAAAAATAATGCCAACGATGCGGTGGAAACCTGCGTACTGGACGGTTAGTGCGGGGGCGGGGCTAATTTTTGATTGAAGGATTTCACAGATTTTTCTGCTAAAAGAAGTTTAACCGGGAAGCCGCCGCTAAACTACTAAGACACCAGAGTTTTCGAGAAGCTGCTGAATCACCACCGCCCCTTATCACGCTAATCAAAAACGAAGGCACTGAGCAGCGGGGTGGTGTTTATTTGTTTCACACGCACATTCACACCTATTACACGATGCTGACACACGCACTAACGCTGTGTACGACGGTAATAAACAACCGCTAAAACTATTCGAAAATAATTCAGGTTTTGCTGCTTGCTGTGACCAATGCGGAAAACAGGTAACTCAACTTTCCAAATTTACTGAACTAAAATGACAATATAATCAAACTGGAACAGAGGGGACAGAATGCACAATGTAATTCGGGAATGTACGGGGGAATTCAGGAGACTGGGGGAATCACATAGAACAGTAAGGGTAAACGTACTTGACTGTACTGAAAAGAGACATGTAATCTAATCATTTCTCGCCAATCGGCTTCACATCGTAGGCAAAGACAGTGTTGTCAGTCTCGAGGCGAGGCGGGCTTTTGACGGCCATCTGAGATCGAAATTTGAAAAACCGATCCGACCATACCTGATGTTGGGCCCGCTTTAGTTCAACGATTTGTCGTCGTCGCAGCTCCTCTTGCTTTTGCTCGTTATGCGCTTTAATCTAGACGGCTGATTAATTACATATAGCAAGTATACCGTATACTCGCGAATACGCAACAGTGAAGCCTTGATGAGGTTGAGGCGCCGGCTTCGCTCATGTACCATCTCCGAAAAATCGTTGGTCGGATCAATCTCCTAAAGCAAAATTCACCAAAAAAACAATCGGATTACCTCGACAAAAAAGTGGATGTGGTCCTTGCTGGCCGCCTCAGCCTCGGGCATGTTGTAGAGTTTTGTGAGCGCCGACTGGAGAGCGTTGACGGCACCGGTGCGCTCCAGGTATGCACCGAAATCCTAAACACACACATTTCTCAACTCGAAACAATTATACCTCATATTCGTCGTCCGCAAACTTCCTGCAGACAAAAGGGCCGCTGGACATCCTAAATATAACTGATCAAAAAATAGAGAAACGTGGTGAAATATAGTTTTAGAAGAGTGCAACTAATGTCAGATGGAACCCCGGCGGAAACACTGGTGAATGTCGGGGACAGAAGATATCGGAAATATATGGTAAAAGGCAAAAAAACTGCATGAAGAGTCTTAGGAACTCGTTCCAAATAACGATGGAAGTTTTCACCTCGAGACAAGGTACGAAGAAGTCGGGGCGGGGTAAGATTTGCTGTAATATTCGAATTGCCCAACTTTAGTTTTCCATCTGCGCAAGAGCAAGGACTGAACAATGAAGAAAAAGAGTATCAGCGAAACCCCGCGAAGTCAGCCGAGAAGCTGGTAGAGTTTGGTTACGGTAATTATCGCACATTTTAACGGTCGCTTTCCGCCGGACCGTAAAAAGTATATACGCGAAATATTGCGCTCGAATCCACCTGCGTCAAAATTTAGCTACATATCGAGCAGAACGCGATTTAGACATCTAAGAAACTGCCCAAAAATGTAAACTTTTATAATCGAGCACATTTTGTCAAAAAAAATCGGTGTAGGAACAGGAAGAAAAAGTTTAGAAACGGTTCCGTTTTAAATTTTTTTTTTTATGGGGGGGACACTATTTTTTTTTTTTTTTTTTTTTTTAGGAAAAAAAAGGATGAATTAAATTGGGAGGTTTGTTTTTTTTTTTAAAAGTGGTTTTTGGGTTTAAATTGGAAAATTTTAAAACAAAAAATTACCATTTATTTATATTAGAAAATTCTAGTCAAGTAATTTTGAAGGTAAAAATTCGGACCCCTAGCGGAATACGAAAGAACTTTTTTTTTCCCTTTACTGATTTTCAGGATCCCAGAGCAACCTGGTATATTCCTGGAGGTCAGCCGACCTTTCCCAAGTTGGTATGAATCGATATACAGGAAACATGGTCGAAACAATAATAGGTATATGCCTTGAAATATGGTTGGCGAGAGGTCTCGGACGAAGAGCACATGAAGCAATTAGTCAGCTTGACCTACACAGCCCCCTGGGGCCTCGAAGGATTGCGTTGGATTGAGGTAGTTGATTTGCATCATTTTGCCTAGGCCTTCAAGGTTCCGTACGCAGCCCATCTTCCGGAAAGTCGCACAAAAGTGGCGATACCCAGCTCCTTTGTTCCGGTGGGGTCAGGTGCTGCGAATGAGGAAACGAGAAGGGCTAGGCGTTCTGAGGACGACAAAGCGGTGCTGGTAAAAAAATTCAACGTAATCCAATTTTGACGAAAATGGCTTGCGTCAAATTTAGATTAAAGACTACTTACGTCAAAAGGCAGCAGAAAACGTTGAGGTGCCTTTAAATGCGCAAAGCAAGGATGCGACAACCGAAAAGACGGCCGCTGCTGTTTCACAGGTTGAAGGCGAGTCTCTCAACCGCTATCAACTTTTTTGCAAGAAGCTGCAGCGAATGATGAGCAGGAGGCCAGTACAGCGACGGGCTTCAAGAACCCGACCCCGGGAGATGAGGACACCGAGACCAACGATGAGGGGACCGCTGTGGTTCAGAATGTCGAGGAACCCGTGGAACCTGCCAAGACCAGTAAGTAAACGAGATTTGAAAATTATTGGGATCACAGATTCTCCTACCTTTGAAACGGTCGTCTTGGGACAACTGGTTGGGTACAGGACGGAAACTTGCGTTCCAATTCCGGTAAATTAGAAAATAGTGTGCAACCCTGTTCAGGTAAAAAACGAAGAAAGCGAGCCCCTCTACTGGATCGTTCGAGCATTGCCCTGTGCCGCAGAGCCCATTGAGGGGGCAAAGGTATGTAAAATCTGCCGAAAATTAAAACCGTAGTCTTTTTAGGTATTCACCACGGAAAACGGGCAGGCGTACGCCTACTACGGAAGGCCTGAGCTTGTTACCCTCAAAGGGAAAAAGCCTTGATCCACCAAAGATCCACTACCGTCCACGTACGCAGCACGCATATACGATTCAACCAAAACTCTTTTGACGCCAAACTTCTAACTATTTATAAAGATGACAATGGCAGATTCAGAAGTGCGGGGCAAAATAACTGGGGTAAATATGTGCAATGGGGGCTGCCTGGTGGGGTGCATAACAATTTTGGGGGAAAGACGAATTCATTCCGGTTGTGTGACCGCTGAAGTTCTGCGGATGAAGCGCTTGCTGAAGAACCGGGCCCGGATGATGATGGCCATACGCAACGTCAGTCTGAAAATTCCAAGTACAACGTGCAACAAAAGAGGACAAACCTCATACCGAAAGGTGTCCAGGCACAGAAAAGCATCTTTTCCCCGGAATGCAAACGAAATAGTCTCCGTGACGGAAAGCCGGTTACCTAAACCAACATTTTCCAAAAAAAAACGTTCAAAACCTGGGATCTGGAGCATGGACCCAGTGGACGGCGGCACAGGGTGCTCTGCATTAACAATATTCAAGCTGGACTTCGGTTTCTGTGCCACAACCATCGACTTCTTGTGCCTCTCGATTTGCTTCAAAACGTTGGTCAAAAATCTCAAAAAGCCTTCCTTACCTGTTCGACTTTCTTCGGCGAGCAGCGAAGTTTATTCGAAAGGGTGTACACGTGCTGTTCGCTGATTTCCGGGTGAAGCTGGCATTCGGCAGCTATTTGGCGATTTATCATATAGTTGCGTCGATTCTCTATGGCCTTGTTCACCTGAAGTCATGAGGGTAGAAACAAGAAAGTCAAACCTCCTTCACAGACATGCCATAGCAATCGGCGATGGCTTTTATCTCATCAGATGAGATGCTTCTATCAGGCTTTACCATTGTCTGTAAAATAAACCTTAAAAAAATCACCTCCAGAAATAAACCTTTATCTCTCTGTGAAACCCGTATGGCTTCTTTTTGAACATCTCGCCTGTTGCAGACAAAGCTGAAAAACATTTTGTTGCGGTGCGTGAAAATTCATTGGAAGTATGATGGGCGGGAAATCAGTGCGTTTTTTGTTTCACGAAGAAGTACACGCTTTATTGATGGCTACAAAGTGGAAGTACAAAGTGCAAAAGTAGAAAATCACAAGCGTAAACACAGGGTAAAAAACGAGGTGCACAACTTACAGAATCTACAAATTGAAAACAACGACGAGGTTTTTTTCCTATCTATTCATTATCGGCGACTAGAGAGATTCCTGGTGGACTTGGCAAGCACCAAGGATTATCACTGCGGGCCCTCAACAAGCGAAACTCCAGACATATCGGGAGGGATTGGCAGGCCCATAATGTAGAGCACCGTCGGAGCCACATCACACAGCGCCATTTCACGGTTGTCCAACTTTGACAAAAATCTAAAATACGATGGATGCGGGGTAAAGAAGTATAAAACGGACTTGAACTTGTCGGAGCTGTTGGTGAAGGGGACGCGGTAGCAGGTGTGTGCTGTATGTTTGCCACCATCGGGAGCAATCATCTTTTCGGCATTCCCGTGATCGGCAGTCACCATGCATACATAGCCTAAAAAGCGCCGATTATTCAAATAAAGAAATGTTTACCGTGCTTTTGACACGCATCAAAGATCCGCCCAATGGCAATATCGGTAGCTTCGCAGGCCTAAAGCACGTAGTTGGAGAAAAAATATCGAATACCTTCACAGCCGCCTCATATTCGCCAGTATGGCCGACCATGTCGGGCGGGGCGAAGTTGCACATCAAGAACGGATGTTTTCCTGAAAGCAGGATCAACATTTTACAACAAAAATGTTGCTTACCAGCCTCCACCTGCTCGACCATTTTGTCAGCGACACCGGCCGACGACATCTCCGGCATATGGTCGTAGGTTGGCACTTTTGGGCTGGGCACCATGCATCGCTCCTCGCCCTCAAAATGGGCCTCCCGGCCGCCGTTGAAGAAGAACGTGACGTGAGCGTATTTTTCAGTCTATTCGAAATTCTATGGTGAAATTGAATATACCTCGGCACAGTGGAACTGTGAAACGCCTTGGGTGGCCAGCCACTCTGCCAAGACATTTTTGTTCGAATTCGGTGGGAAAAGGGCAGGGAATGGGAATTCAGCCTTGTACTGTGTCATTCCTAAAAGCAAGAAATCCGTGAAATGAACTGCTCACATACCATAAACTTGGAGATCCTTTGGGTGGGGCAGGGACGAATTGCAATTCTTGTAGGCTTCCATGCCCATCACCTCGCTAATCTCGCGCATGCGGTCGGCGCGGTAGTCGAAGAAGATCAGAGTATCTCCGTCCTAAAAGAGTTATAAAAATTCTGGACCGCCAAAGTGCACCTTCACGCGGCCCTTGTCACCATTCACAATGATAGGCTTCAAAAATTCGTCAGTTTCGTTGGCGGCGTAACGGGCTTCCACTACGGATGTCACCTACAAAGAAAATATAATAAAAAAAATCATAAAGCTCCTTACCTTTTCTTTAGAAGTCTCCTCGCCCTTTCCACCAACCATTCCCTCATAAGCCACGGCAATACGCTCCCATCTCTTGTCACGGTCCATCGCATAATACCTAAACCGTTACCGAATAGCCTTTATCAAATACCTTCCGACAATCGTCGCTAGCTCTCCGTATTGTTGCTCGTCCAAGAACTTTAGGGTGTCCTTCAGGAAGCCCAGACCCGAGTTCGGAGAGGTATCGCTAAAAAGGGGAATTTATGTGGATTTCAAACAAACCGCCCATCGCCATAAAATTGGATGTAGAGCTCCGGAACCTGGTGGGCTTTGATGGCCTTGATGAGCGCAAAAAGGTGATCTAGAAGAGCGTTAATTCCGAAGCCTCAACGTACCAATATGAGAGTGAACTCCTCCGTCAGAAACCAGGCCAGCCAAGTGAAGACGGCCATTCCCCTTCTTGGCCCGCTCGCAGGCGGCCACCAATGTCTCGTTGTTAGCCTAATAAAGAAGGTAAATATTTAAAATCTAATTACCAAAGTGTCATTCTTGATCGCCAAGTTGATGCGCACGATGTCCTGGTAGACCGGGCGGCCAGATCCGATGTTCAAGTGGCCCACCTAAAAACTCGATTGAAACAAACGAATTTTACTTCACCTCCGAATTTCCCATTAGCCCTTCTGGGAGACCGACGTGGAGTCCATGAGCCTCGATCTGTTGCCAGTTACCTGTAGAAAAAGTATAATAGCGTTTATCAATGGAACCTGAGCAAAGTTTGTCCATGACTGGCGTTTTAGCGTTAGCGATAGCGTTGCCATGGGTCTCGTCGGAAAGGCCCCAACCATCGATGACGATCAGGCAAACCTTGTTCTTTATCTAAAATCAATATTTAGCCAATATTAATTGTGAGATTTATATAGGAAAGAAAAGAACTCACCTTGTCGTTGTTCGCCATCTCTCAAAGCGATCAGGGCGCAGTGCGAAAAGGAGTCGGCGCCTGGAAAGAAGGAGTAACCCGGGGGCCCAACCCGAGAGAACGCAGCCGAAATCAGAGAAATGCAGAGAACTGCTGCGAAAAGGGCCGGCGTCTGGTCAAAACAGTGAACTGAGAGAGAGAAAACAAAAACAATTTATTCGTGTTGATAAGGTTGCGCAGTTCACATAAAATATTGCCGAACCGCGCAAAGCGAGAATGCCATTGTGGAATCAAAAACATGTTGGCAGATTGCGTCATCACAACAGAAGGGTACATGATTTCCCGTAGCAAAAAAAGAACACAACGCGGCGTGGCCAGTAAAGCTCAATCAATTATCACAATGAAGGGAAAAAGGCGAAAATAGGGTCCCCATGACATTTCTGCAACAGGATGTCAAAATTATCCTGACCGGGTAGTAATTTCTGAAATATCAGGTTGAAAAATTACTAAACCCCTTCTCAACGTTAGAAAAGCAACAAAATCTTCTGTCGGAGTTGCTAAAATGCCATGGTCCCGAAAGGATGTCCGCCCGTCGGTAGGGCACTGTTTAGGGAATGGCAAATTGCTATTCTGTGGGCAAAATCCCGTTCGGGGCCTCTTCCTCGGGCAACAAGTCGGCCAAATGCGTGAATTTGGCAGCAGATAGCAGCTTTTTGACGGTTGTCCACCTCCCAAACGAACATTCCCAAAGCAGCGACGTTGACTGAAAAATGGCGTGTTCCATGTAAAAAGATCCAAAAAATACTTCCGCTTATCACAGTGAAAAAAAGCTTTTTTATTTTTTGATGCTTTTGAAGCCGTTACCGTACCCGTTGGTCGATCGACAGAAAGGCGGCCGTCTTCTCCAGCACGCGTTGCCCCTGCACGCCTTCAAGGCCCATCTAGAAGATGGCGTCGTTGGCACTAGCACAAGAGTTGCACCTACCTTAGCATAGTGTGCGGATCGTTGCCATTGTCGTTGCGACTGCAAGTACCTACAAGCATCGGCTCCGGCTCCGACGACAAATAGCAGTTCTACGCCATCTGGACGAGACTATCATCGGTCGGAAAAGTGAACAAACCTTGAATCAGATCGTTGGCAATCAAATTCGTCGCGATCAGCTTGATCAATGACCTAAAGGAGATTCCATAGAATTTTGGGCACCTACTTGGAATGTTCATCGTCGTGATTCGAGACGAGAAGAGCGGCTTTGTAGGAAGAGAGTCTGACGTCACCAAAGGCACTTCCGATCAGTCTGAATAGTGATGGATTCGGCTTAGATTGTAAAGGTTTGTTGTGTTGATTGAAGTTGTTACCTATCGACCGCTGCTCTCCTTGCTTCCCCACCCAACACTACGGCCCTTTCGACCAGACGGCTCTCGTCGGCTTCTCGGATGTTGCAGCAGGCTCTTATCACCCGCTTTTCACGCTCCTGAAGTGATTTAATAAATTTCTTTTTCTTTTTCTTGCGTCTTTTCACCCTCAGAGATTGAGCATCAGCTCTTACTAACCTGGAAGAAGGGTCCACTCCAAAATATTTGCAGGTGTGGTGGCAACAGCCTCTTTTCTTCTGACCCAATTTTATGCAGAATCATCTAAACATTAAATAAAACGTTTTCACGATATTCCAAACCCTCAACACATCAGCCAAAGCTGTGTCGCCCCTCCACTGATACCACGCCAGCTCGTTGGCCAGAGCATCTTCAGGACTCGTTTCTTTTCTCTAAACATTTTTAATAGCTTTTCGAAGCCGGTAATATTACAAATCGACGTCGAAAGTAAGAGTCGAGTGGTGCAATCGAAGTAGCTTCTCCAGCCATGAATTTTTGCTTTATTTCTTCGAGGTTTAGCCCCAAATAACACATTGCTTCGTCATGTTGAGTCCATTGGGGGCGTCTGTCGCGTACCACATCATATTGTCGTTCGTGACGAGAACTGGTGTAATCTATACCGGAATTTGATCAGAAGATTTTCTGCCTACCCCACAGAGGTCCACATCTAGTGCTGCTCTACATCCGTCCATGCTGATAGTTTGCGTCCGCGTCAACGATTCGGTTTCCCAGAGGATCAGTTCACTATAAAAGAAATTCAGGTTTCTCGTTATTTTGTTGGTTTGTTGTGTTGTTTGTTGGTTGGTTTATTTGAAACTTACTTTTGATAGAGTACCGCTAATGTATGATCACCAGCAAGTCGACTGAATTGCATTCGGACCACAGGCGTGCGTCCAGCTCTGAAAAACTCATTTTTTCGAGTAATAATAGAGCAAGTTTTTGGTCCCATTTGCGCACCTCGTATTCTTCGACTGCCGCTTTGCCAGATCCCAGACAGCAAGCCGACCGTCTGCATCGCCCAGGGCCAGAACATCTCCTTTCCAAGCCATACATCTGATAGCCCAGCCGCCGGATTTCCACTAAAAGCATAAATATAAATAATTTCATTTTTATAACATTTTCTGGGGGTTACAACACGGCAAGCAATCATTTTAGACACGAACCTGTGTAGAAACCTCTTTGCCATCCCTAACATGGAGGCCTTTCACGACAATATGGTACAGTCGATTGTCCGAATCCAGCACTACCAAATTTTCCCTGGATTTTCCCTTGTTTTGCATAAATTTTTCGTCACCCACCTATAGACCGAAGGCCCGCCCCCGTCTGTGGGCTTGACAGTGCAATGCTTACAAGACCACGCCTAAATAAGTCATTTTTGAAAACTAGTATTTCGAGGTACCATATCTCTAATCAAAGGGCAGGCTTTGCTCATGCGTCTCAGCAACCTCATCGAGTTTAAGTCCCAGACTTCTAGTGGCTCTCTTTCAAAGGCAAAGGCAACGTAGCTTCTGAAAGAATTTTACATCTTCATGAGAGGATTTTTATAATATATAGATTGACCGAATACCCACTGATAAAAAGAAACGCGGATCATGGTGATTGGAGATTCATCTCCTTCCGGCCGAGCTCGACGTGATATTCCGGTTCGAATATCGGTCAGAATGACATCATTCCTGACAGCATTCGTTGTCGACAGCGGATGGTTGAAGCCGGCGGTAAGAACAGAATGTGAGGAAGTCCATTCAATACACCTATTATATTTTGTTCCACAGTTAGGTCAAATTTACTTGATTGGTGATGATTGAACTGTGAATTCCTTTACAATTTCCCGGGTGAATACATCGACTAGATGGAGTGTACCGCCACTCGTTCCTCAAAAAGTCAGACTCTTTTTGAAAATCACCAAAATACCTATTGCAGCCAGGTGCAGATCATCAAGTGGAGATTCGTCCTGCAGAGTCTCCTGATCGCGCTTTACCATCCCCTCCAATGGCTTCACCCGTACAGAGGTCACCCCAACAGCAAGCGCATTGCAGAGGCCGATTTGACGAAAACTATAACAACTTGAATTTTAAGCCGCGCAACGTTAACTTGCCCCAAGTCGTCGATAGTTCCGGTTGTAAGCTCGTCATCAAAAGTGAACAATTCCTCGGCAAACACCGAGCGATAGAGGCCAGAGGAGGAAATGGAGTCAGATTCCTAAATATCAAGGCATCTACCTTTTTTGTAATATTTACCATTTGATAGAAATAGGAGCGTCCATTGGTGTAGAGGAAAGCGACGGTCGATTGGGTTGCCGGACAAATGGCTGAGGCAACGGCTCGAAGGCCGGCTCCTCCTCGGACGGCTGTTCCACGGACCCCTTCACCAACAGCTACCCTTTCATATAATACTTAAATCAATCAGAAAATAAGCGATAAATGTTAGACCTACACTGCCCATCCACCCTTTCTTTTGCCATCAAATATTTCCCGACCCACAACTAAAAAGATTTTCATAGGGCGACTGAAAAAACCCTTACCGTACAAGTTCCAGTCGTGGAAGTCACGATGAATGCATCAGCCGACTGTATTGGTAACACAGAAAGCAAAGATGATTCGAAATCCGACTGAAAAGGATTGTATGGATGAGACCAACCACCTTACCTTGAAAATAACACAACACAACTCCTGATGAACACACCAAACTCGATTCCTAGTGACCAGCAAAAGAATATTTTGGTAGGCGGTATGGTGGCGAAGACAGACGATCTCGTTCTCTTAGTCAACAATAGAGGGTCGCTAGACTTTTTCATACCGGCATTCTCCGCCAATGTAATGATATTCCCGGCGCCCGATGGCGGCACGTTCAGATCAATGTCGCTGACCACGAAGATCGAATTGGCAGTTGCAACTAAACAACTCTAAAAAAATACTACAGAGACCTACATGCAGCCTTGTCGGATATGAACGGATCCAGCGAGAAGCCGGTAAACGTCATCGGGAATGAAAAGGACCAAACCTAAAGAATATCAAAAACCAGATGGTTACAGTCGCTTCGCGACTGCAACCATCTGGCCTTCGGGCTACCCTACATGTCCTAATCCACCACATCTTTCCCGACCTCTAACAATACCCACGCTAACGGCTTCAGATAGCCCCCCCCCCATAGCCGAAATCCCCTTAAAAAACTACCAAAATACCTTCCTGTTGGCTTCAGATACCCCCCATAGCCGAAATCCTTTTAAAAAACGAAAGTAACGACCGACCGGATGGAATGAGAGAAAAAAAGAAATGAAATCCCCGTGAAAATTTTCATCTACGAAACGCGCGCGACCTGGCTCACTATGTCCAAAATCAGACATGGCAAATCGGCCGGCCGATCGGCTTTTTCGGCCGAAAAAATTAGAATGCGGCCGGCCGAAATCGGCCGGCCGCCACTTCCGGTCGGCCGCGGCCGCGGCCAAATCGGCCGGCCGAAATGTCGGCCGGCCGCGCGGCCCGGAAACGGCCGAAAACCCGCAACCAAATTAGATTTTTGGATGCTAATGAAGGGATTTACTTGGCCAAAAATGTTTAGACTGAGGAAATTAGTTAAATAATGGGGTTGCAACGGTCTAGGGTTAGACGTGATTACAACGTATTTGACGTGACTGTTGCTTTGCTTTATCATCACTAATTGCTTCATCGCCGCAAAACGATTTAATTAAAAAAAGATTCAGGAAACTAAAGGCCCACTCGTCATAAAAACACCCTGACTAAATTTTTGCGTTACTTGAAACTACAAAATTGAATTCTATTTGAAGTTGGCAACCTTCCAAAAAAAAATTCAGGGCTGACATAAAAAGCACGCTTTCCCCACATAAAATAAAGATTTTGAAATAAAATTTGGTAGGCAGGCATCCTAGGGAATAGTAAAAACCAATGCCCAAACCCATTCCTTATTTATCCAAAATTTAGAGGCGCCAGCGACACGTTTCTGTGAAACTTTTTCTCAAGTGTGAATTGTCGGCCAAAAACGTCGGCCGGCCCTTAAAAAAACTACTTCGATACCTTCCTGAGGTCTTTAGATACCGCCCCTAGCCGAAATCCCTTTAAAAAACAAAAATAACAACCGACCGGATACGTCGGAGAAAAAAAGAAATGAAATGGCTCCCGTGAAAATTTTCATCCACGAAACGCGCGCCACCTGGCTCACTATGTCCAAAATCACCCCAACCTCCGTCCCCCCACCCCTTTTACTAAGGAAAAAACTTTCAAAGTTAATTTTAATAATTTAAACTAAAACTTTTTAATAATTTTTTTATCAGTTTGGGGGTTTCTAACCACGCTCTATCCGAATCCGAAGAGAGCTAAGCTCTAGCTCTTTTCCCCTTCGAGTTGAATCCGGGACATGACGGACGGACAGACACCCCTACCTTTTTATTATAGTTGATGGTTCAAAGCACCCACTTTCTCGCCGGTATCAGCATTCCAGAGCACAAGCAGGGACGGCGAGTGCAGGACCAACAAGAAATCTCGTTGCAAGTCCTTCCAGACGAACCATTCAAGGTCTGAAATGTGCGCTCGCATGGATTTTCGGAGACTCACGAATCACATTCGTGTTCGGCAAGCCAAACGTCGAAAGGGTAGTGCCATTTTTTGGGTCTGAGACTACTAGTCGGCCTGAAATATCGGCCGAGGCAATCCGTAGCGTCTGGTCCTCAGATAGGAGGGCCGCCGGCGGGCTCCAGGAAATCTGAAACGCACCATGGCATCTGCTACGTCAAAGTTACATGGCTGATAGCAGTTTTATGGAATTCCAGGGCTTGTATCCGGCGCTGCGAGCATGCGTCGACGAGAAAGATCAAGTTGTGACATCCGTAGGCGAGTACACCTTGTTGGTTCCTGAGATTCGCGTTCTTTTACGGTCTCGCTATACGGCTTTTCCGTTTAAAAGAGCCTACCACGCCAATACATGGCGGCCATTACTCGGGTGTAGGCTGCCGGGTACAATCGTCGACATTTTTCGTCAAGTCATCAACGGCTGGAAAATTTCATTTGGTTTAATACAAGGATCTAAATATTATATTTATAATCTTCAAAGTCACATTATTCATATAGAATCATTTTTGTTTGTTTTATAGACCGCTGAAATGGTCAAACAAAGTTAGCATTGCCACTTTTGATTGGTTCCCTTTTTATTTGCCTTCCGCTACGGATTGCTACAATAAACGCCGCCTCAGAATTTGCTCCCGTAACTCATAAAAATGCAAAATTTATTTCTAATAATTTTTATTTCTTTCTGAAATGACAAATAGAACGTAAAATCCTTGTCAATTTTGTTTTTTGACGAATAGACCAACCTTTCGTCCACTTCAGATCCGCTAGTCCGCCCATAAGGCATTTCCCGCAGATAAATTCTAACGAAAGTTTTCGAAGTTGTTAAACCAAAATGTTATCCGCTATATTTGTCTCGTTTACAGATGGAGTGCGACGTGGCAAGGCATCATATCGACTCTTTCAACTACCTGCTCGACCCAGGAGTCGATTTGGCGGCCAAAAGCCTTACCCCGATCAAGTTCCGATGGCCCAGCGGCGAGGCGGTGATAATGAAGTACAAAGGGGCGAGGATCGAGAACCCCAGAGTTGGCAGCACGGTAAGTCTCTGTACTAGAGAGTGAAAAGATTTATAGGATGAACCGATGTACCCGTCGGAATGTCGTCAGCGGGGAATGACTTACCGCGGCCGTCTCCTTGTCGATATCGAGGTTTTTTAATGTTACAGAAGAGTTATCGATTGTAGATCACGCTGAATGGTTTGCTACTCGATAATCTCAACGATGTCTATATTGGGGATGTTCCTATTATGTTGATGTCGAAAAAGTAATTAAATTGCGGTAGTTGTACCTGTTTTTAGGTGTAATCTGCAAAAGCTTAATCAGAAACAATTGTTGGCTAACGGCGAAGAGGCGACGGAACGTGGAGGTTATTTCGTCAACAAGGGATCAGAAAAAGTCTGAGATATATTATTGCACCAAACACTCCTCGTAGGTCATTCGAATGCTGATCGCCAACAGACAAAATTACCCAATTTCCATCGTCAGGGAGAGCTTCAAGGACAAGGTTTATTTACTATTTTGATTTTTAATTCTTTTTAGGGAATGCTCTATTCGAAGTATGGTGTAATCCTTCGTTCGGTCCTTGACCTCCACACCACATCCATGATCACTATGCATTACTTGGAAAGTGCCACCATGGTCGTTGCTATCCAGGTAAACCCCAGGTTTATTTCCAACCAGTTTTTATTTAGTACGAAAGAGAAACTTTCTACATACCGCTAATGTATATCATCAAGTCGCTGACGAAAAAGAGTGACTCCGAGCTGGACACGATCTTTAGAAGGGGTCGTCAGGATGACATGTTTTGGAAATCGATTGTCTCGAATATGATGCTGCAATGTCAGGAAGATGGGATACTTCATCAGGTCCGCCAGTTTTCCGACCTAGGAATATTCGAATTACAGGAGGTGGCATTGAAGACGCTGGGCACTCGTTTCAGACAAAGCCTTAGCCTACGCATGGGGCCTTGGGAGGACGTTTTGGTAATACTCATTGTTTTGTTGACTAGACTATTATTTTTAGGACGCTGGTAAATATCTGATGGATCGTTGCGTGGCAATTCATTTGAAAGACTGGGAAGATAAGCTGCATCTGTTGGTCTACATGGCGCAGAAGCTCTATGCGCTTTCTACGGTTTGTCTAAAGTTGTTTTCCACATGTCAATCTAGGGACAATCGGCGCCGGAATCGCCCGACAACCCACAATTCCAAGAGGCTGCCCTTGGTGGTCACATCATGTTGCAGATTTTGAGGGAGAGGTACTAAAAAAGGTTCTTTCGCATAGTTGTGGGACCGTACTTTTTTTTTCTAAATATTCAAAAAGCTTCCAGTTCAAATATCGGGCGTGTTTCTAAGCTGTTTTTTATTAATCCTAAAGGTTAAAGCTATACAAGTTTTGCTAAAAAAAACAAATATTTTTTGATCAAAAGTGACCGATTTTCGACCAAAATGTCACCTAAGAAGGTTTTCTGATTTTTTTTTTTGGCTACTTTTCACCCTTAGAATCTAAAAATTTTACGAAAAAAAACTATTCAGATACGCCCTATACAATTACTAGGCATTTCTCAATTTATAGAAGAATTGCTTCCCCCGATAATGTGAAAGAACCGTAAATAATGCTTCCCCCTATTTTTTTTTTGTTTAGGATGGAAAGCGTGCTGAGGATTTGTAAATTTGTGTTGGTTAAGAAGGCGACCCGGTCGCCAAAATATGTCCTTTCTAGGTGGGCAAGAGGCTTTTTCCTTTGATCCCTGTTTAGTGCCGAAGTTCAGCGTATCCTGCTCCCGAGCACAAAGGGGAAGAACGAGATTACGCAGGGAATCGAGTATTTCATAGCTACCGGTAATCTGACGCAGCGGAATTCAGCCGTGATTTTTTTTAGGAAATCTGGTCACGAAGCTGGGAATCGGCCTTCAGCAATACACGGGTTACTCGGTGGTCGCCGAACGGATCAACCAACTCCGTTTCATCTCGCATTTCAGAGCCATTCACAGGTAGCTTTATTTCTTCTCCGATGCTGACACCTGGCTTCAGGGGCGCTTTTTTCACGGAAATGAGGACGACTGATGTCCGCAAACTTCGGCCGGAGTCTTGGGGATATATTTGTCCCGTCCACACGCCTGACGGAGCCCCTTGCGGTCTTCTAAATCATATCACAGCTGGTTGCCGGTATGGTTTTTCTCCTTAAAAATAATAGGTTTTTTTCTATTGTTCGGGGATTCGGTATTTTTTTTTTCTCAAGTTTCCTTTTTCTAATAAAAATCTGATCCGTGCTCCTAAGCTACTTGGACCATTCCTAAGCGTAAAAACCTTAAAAAAAAATAATTAAATTAATTATTAAAAAATGTAAGACTTTCCGCGCAAAATTTAATTTTTTTGAACAACTTTTTTATAGTTTTTACCGAAATATACCTAAATTTTACCCAAAAATCACGGGAGATGCGTGTATGGCCTTACTAGAAATATCTTAATTTTTAGAGACTAACCACCAATATTATTTTTTTAGGATCGCCACACATTACTCTGACACTTCCAAGCTAATGTCGTTCATGCAACGGCTCGGATTGTACACCCACCAGATGATGACATTTGTGCCACCCGATGTTGAGGTGCCGCCAGTAGCTTGCCAAATGAACGCCTTTTTTAGATGTACCCCGTCTATGCTATGGGAAATCATGTCGGCTTCATCCCTGTGGGCAAAGCACCGGTTTTCGAGCGGCTTCTCCGTTTGGCTAAAGTCTCGGCCACCGACACGCGCGTTCCATTCGATGCTGAGGTAAGTTAGGCTATGCCAGCAATAATATAATTTAGATTGCATTGGTTCGAAAATCTCCTGATCCCAAGAATATCATCACGCAGCATCCGGGCGTCTACATTTTCACCGAGCCGGCCAGAATGTATCGTCCCGTTCGTAATTTGATCACGGACAGCACCGAAATGATCGGTAGCCATTTTTCGCGTGTAATTTATTGATTTCTTGAATTAGGCATTTTCGAGCAAGTGTACCTTTCCGTGGCATTGGACCCTGAAGATGCTGAGCCTGGAGTCACCCTGCATCAGGTGGATTTATTTTTCCAATTTTTATTTTTTTAGGAACTGCATCCTTCGTGCCTCTTTTCCTATGCATCGAATCTGATCCCGTTCCCGGATCACAATCAGGTAAGAATTGACTCTTTTTCGTCCTGCTTCGTTAGTGGAGGAGAGCTGACGTTTTCTTCATGTTCCCGTAGTCTGCCATAGAATGCATTTTAAGCCCTTTTAGGTATCGCAAGGTTTAAAAAAGTAGGAATTTTTGCCTTTTTGGTGAAAAATGTAGACAACAAGATTGAACAGTTCGACATTAAATTTTTTTCTAATTTTTCGTTATCGCGAATTGCACACTATCCACCAGTTTATGCTTTCATTTTTAAGTTTAGGCTGAATAATGGACCGCGCTAACCCACACCCCCACCGCTAACGAATCAGAACCGATTTTTTTGCAACGTTGATTTAGTCGCCCCGCAACATCTACCAATGCCAAATGGCGAAGCAGACGCTCGGTACCGCAATCCATTCCTGGTTCTATCGCAACGACAACAAGATGTATCGACTGCAGGTTGACGTAAAACTTTCAAATTCTTATTTTTACTTCCAGTTTCCGCAAAAGCCACTGCTCAAAACGGAGGCGCACGACCTCTACGGGATGGACGAATATCCATCCGGGACGAATGCTTGCGTGGCAGTTATCTCCTACACAGGCACGTTTAGAATAGCTATTTGACCGACAATTAGGCTACGACATGGAAGACGCGATGGTGATCAATCGCGGTTCCTTCCAACGAGGTTTCGCTCATGGCACCGTCGTCAAAGTCGAAGAGTAAGGGTCATTAGTATACTGGGGTATTCCCGCATGATAGGCCGCTTCCTAGGGCCTGAGAGCCGAAAAATTTTAGAAAGACTTAAGTATCTAAAAATTTGGTCAGTTGAGGCGGAAAAATGGTTGGACTTTGGTTGAAAAATAGGCAAAATTTTGGTCTCCCCACAGCGAGTACTCAAATACCGTCTTCATAATTTTGCTAATGACGCTTGTTTAGGGTTGATCTGACCGAGAAAAATGGCCAAGAGTTGATCTTCTTCATGGAGAATCCAGCAGGCACGCTCCACAAGACAATCGACCCCGATGGACTGCCCATTCAGGGACGGCGATACCAAGAAGGTAAATATGCATTATGCAAAGCTTTTATATCTATAATTTTTCAGGCGAACCTTACATGACGACCTTCAACCTGGAAACCGGTCAGCAACGCGTTCACAAATTCCACTACGCCGAGCCGGCCTACTGTGGATTCGTGCGCCTCGTCACGTCAGACGAATATCCGAATCTTGCCGTGGTACGACTTGTCGATCTAAACCAAACGAGTTTCTGCTGTTTTTAGAAAGCGTTGATTCAATGGCGAATTGAGCGCAACCCCATCATCGGCGACAAGTTCGCTTCTCGTCATGGGCAAAAGGGCATCAATTCGTTCCTGTGGCCGGTCGAGTCCCTTCCGTTCTCAGGTTTCATTTTTGTTTCTCCGGCGCTATAAAATTGTTTTTAGAAAGCGGTGTGGTGCCGGACATCATTTTCAACCCGCACGGCTTCCCGAGTCGGATGACCATCGGTCAGTTTTTTTCACAGTGTTTTGGTATATTTTTTTTCTTAAAACTTGCTACTTAGGAAGGGCGTCGAATTTTTATAATTGTTTTGCTTTTACTGCCAATTCATTTTTTTTCCAAATAAACGACATTAGATAAGCCAAACGGGTGTGATTAAGAAATTTAAGAAAACAAGCAGTTTTTAGATACAAGATAAAGATTTTACCGCTCACTTTCAGGTATGATGATCGAGTCTATGGCTGGTAAGGGAGCCGCGATGCACGGTGCAGGATATGATGCTTCTCCGTTCGTCTTCAACGAAAACAACACGGCCATTGACCATTTTGGCACGCTATTAAAGGTGCTTTTTACTACTTATGAGAATTTATACTTATTATTAAAGAAAGCCGGCTACAATTACTTCGGGGAAGAGACGATGTATTCGGGAATCGACGGCCGCGAGTTTACCGTGCAAATTTTCTTCGGAATCGTCTACTACCAGCGCCTGCGTCACATGATTGCCGATAAATTCCAGGTGTGTTTTTCAGGGAATTTTGTTAAATCAGCTCTGATAGGTACGCGCAACCGGGTCGGTCGACTACGTTACACACCAACCGGTGAAGGGAAGGAAGAAGGGCGGAGGTTTGTTTCGGTTAAACAATATCTCATTGTGGTTTCTATTTAGGTATCCGTTTCGGTGAGATGGAACGTGATGCCATCATCTCACATGGTGCATCTTTTATGCTACAGGTAAATGTGTCGCCCATTAAATTAACCAAAATTCAGGATCGTCTATTGAACTGCTCGGATCGCGATATCGCACACGTTTGCCGAAAATGCGGTTCTCTTCTGTCAGTGCTAGCCGGAACAATCGCTCAGCGAACTATGCAAAAGGGTGGCAAGACGGTATGATTTACAGCGTTTATCCTACGTCCAAGTTTTTTCAGTATAAGTCTACTACGGACTATACGGACAGGCCAATGTGCCGCTTCTGCGACACCGACAAGGACGTGTACGTGATCCAGGTACGATCGGGTTGTGCGATTATTTACTTCGTTTCAGCTGCCACACGTCCTCCGTTTCCTGGTGGCTGAACTGGCAGCCATGAATGTGCGACTCGTGGCCGGAATCGAGCACCCTACGAAGATCCGAAGATAAAGTCGATCACAATTCCAGTTGTTCTTTGTTAGATCTTCAATTTAGTTTTTTTTTGTTGCAAGTTGATTTGTTGTTATTGTCGTTGTTGCGCATCTTGCACCAGTACTGTTATTGTTGTGACAAAGTTGTTGTTTTGCTCAATAAATCGTTATAAAATTTATTTAATCATAGGCGAATTGCAAAAACCCTTGAACGCTAGAGGCTACACTTTAAAATAATTCGATGAGCGAGAACCGGATACTAAATATGTACAAATGACAACTCGTAACGATGGACCTGGCAAGTCGGTTCCCCTTTATTTGTTGTTGATGAGACTGTTCGTGACGGTGTTCAAGCTGGCGGGGGCGTTTTCAAGCATATTGAAAGTCTGAAAAACAATTGGCTAAACGGGAAGCGGCTGACCTTGTCGACTCCGGTGTTCCAACATCCGCCAACTTTTCCTTTCACTTCATCAACCGAGGGAAGCTAAAAGTGCTGAGATATGTTTTTTAGCAAAACCAACCTTTTCCTTATACACAATTGTTCCTGGAACAATCAATTCCTTTGTGGTCTCGTACAGCTTCGCTCCCTAAATCAAATATTTGTAAAATGACAGGAGCTCACTTTTTCCGTTCGCAATGACCAAATATCATTGTCGTAGGAAATCTTGATGGCTCCCGCCACGAGTCCGACCCGTAGGCCCAATCTGGAAGAAAATAATAAGAAAAATAATCTCACTCACTTTGATAGCCGCCACAGGAAGCCCATAATCAGCCCTGAAAATGGGATGGGATTATTATAGGCAATAAAATAGTAGTTTCAAAGTTGACAGCAAGAAAAGCACGGAAATCTATGGGAAATAATAATTTAGAGCCAAGTTTAGAAGAAAACGGGCGATTTTTGTTGTTGGGAAGTGTACGCAGCGCTCCTATGTGCGAGTTTACTTTGCGCTTTCAGGCCCCTCGGAACTTTCGCATTGCACATTCCCGACACTTTCTAAAAGAATCGTGTAAAAATAATTCTAACTTTTGGGTTAGTATTTTATTTATGCTTCCTTCCTGTTGGCCTTGCTCTAATGATCTTGAACTCGAAAGGGCCCTCATCTTCCTCTCTCATCACCAGCAATTCTCCCTATTAACTCCTCAATTTCAGAAGCAAAATGGCCGGCACTAGCGAGGTGGCCAAGCAGATCGCTTGGAAATACAACAGCGCCCCCGTGCAATGGTTCCGCCGCGTCGCCTGGAGCTACCTGTGGGGCGGTCGCGAATATGGCCTTCACTTCCACGACCAAGCCTTCGAACCCGCCCCGGAAGTGACCGAAGCCCTCCGCCGTCTCAACCTCAAGGAGCCGTGGCTGTTCGACGAGCGCAAGAAGCGCCTCTCCGTCGCCCATCACCTGGCCATGCACGGCGAGATTCTGCCCAAGACCAAGTGGACAAAGTGGGAAGACGAATCCTGGTACCTGAAGCCCTACCTCGATGAGATCGAAGCTGAGAAGGAAGCGCGTGCTTCATCCTCCGGACTTCTGCCCTCGTTCATGAAGCACGGCAGCGCCTATTCGAAATCCGGATTCGGTGGCCACTAAGCATACCTTTTGTATTTAAAACACAGATTTTCGATTTTTTTTGTGATGCTTAGGCTGAGAATGTTGTTGTGCTCCCGAAGTACACATGCGAAACGAATCCTATAGAATCCATCTTAGCTTATCGGATCTGATAATAGCGTGTTCTTTGTAGCCCTTGTTTTCTATCTATGTTCTCGATTCGTACAATAAATATTAACCAAAAAATCTTAGTGATGGATCAACTGCTCGACATCGAACAACTTCAAAAGCTCACACCGCAGCAACAAGAGCAGGTGATCGCTGGGGTCAAGCAGCAAGCCGCTCTCGCAAACGCTCAGAGTCTCATTACGGTATGGTCATCTTTCCGGGTTTACTCTGTTTTTAGGAACTTTCGGAAAAGTGTACCATCAAATGCATAACGGCTCCAGGAACGTCGTTGACTGGAGGTGACAAGCAGTGTCTTCAGAGGTAAAAATCTTACATATTATGAGCTAGGTTTCTTTGACATCTGTAGTAGCCATTAATTCTACAAAGTTTCGTAGAATAATTATCGTTTTTTTTAGGTGCATGGATCGTTTTATGGACACATGGAACCTGGTTTCTCAAACGCTTCAGAAGCGACTGCAGGTTTGTTCGTGATTGTTTTGTTGGAAGTAAATTATCTTTGTAGGAGGAGCTACAACAAGGCGGAGGATTCATGGGTGGCGGCGGACCCAGCTTTTCTTGAAAATTTTTGCCCACATTTTTTCTCCAAGTTTTGTGTAGTGCGGTTTGTTTTAGCCCTTTTAGTCGTTCCCCCTCCAAGATAGTCATTTAGTTTAGTGAAAATTCACGGTTCCCCCGCTCCGCGTGTTTCCGGTTCTTTCCCCTGACAGCTTTCGTTGACCTCATGTACTTTTTGGACTTCCTTGTTGTCTCCTTTAAGATGTGATGATTAAATTTATTTACCATACCATGAACTTGCACGTCTCCTGTAAATGACAGTTCGGGGCAACATGAGATCAATACGGCGATGGGAGAGCCAGGGAAGCATCGGATATTATGTGTGTTCAGCTGACCGACAGAGCGTTGGATGTATTGCGAAAGGATGATCGAGTCGCTTTTACAATAAGTTTAGTCGCAGCGGTTGTCAGTGCATGTAAACTGCCGCTACAACTATTTTGCTTTTTCGTCGAAAACCATGCCTTTCGTTCTGTTGCGCCGCGCCATTCATCAGATGGATGTTTTCCCGGTGACGCCGCATTGGCAGATCGCCCCAAACAATGCCCATAGCCGGGGTGTCGGGATCGATTATCCGATGCGCGCCACCGTTTTGTAGTTCTCGATCGACGGGCCCGCTTCACACCCAACCCCGGGGAAATGCTCTGCATTTTGATATTGCACACACGCTTATTGCTGCCCCCACTTCGAAGGCAGCGCCGCAAAATTAATTTCCAGAGGCGCCAGCCGCTTAGCATTCTCGGATGGACGACGCGGAGACGGAGAAGCTGTTTGCGCAATGTGATCGAGGTCGGAAGGGTTATTTGACGGAGGGCGACTTGAGAGCTGTCTGTCCACAGCTTGACCCACAGGTTTGTCGTGCTTAGGATATCGTGATATCTGTATGTGCGTAGGATATCGCCTTCATTTTCGCCTCTTTGGACACGGATGGAAGTGGGAGAATCGAGAAGGAGGAATTTGTGGCGGGTTTCTTTGAGACGCTAGCCAAGGCCGAGCAGCACGGTGAGCTTGCATTTATCGTAAAGTAGGAGCTCTTAAATAGGCTGTAACGGAGTGATGGCCCGGGCCTCAGCCACGGAAATAGTCTACGAGTCCGACGTGCCGAACAGCTTGGTGGCTGAAGCCGTGGTTTGTGTCTGGTGGTCCCGGGATTATGCGTACCATCCATTATAGCCACATCGCAGAAGTCCTTATTTGGAGGATTCCTACTGTTCCGAGAGCGATTCACAGCGTATAGACTTCAATATGCCTTGGTAAATTTCAGAGCTTATGTGAAGCTTCAAGCTTTTCGCCACCCTAAACGAAAAAAGCGCTTTTAGCCAAGACGAGGTCATAGCTCTGTATTCCCAGCTTCAAGACGCCGGAATGCCGGCCCTTCTCGGGAAATTCGAGCGTGTCGTCGGCAAATTTTGTCGTGAGATCAACACGCATAAGGAGGAGAATGAGAGGCTTCAGCACATCTACCACAGCGAGAAGGAAATGTATAACAGGTCGGTTTGGCGGGTTGACGAGGTAAGTTTCGTATTTTCTAGACGGATGGAAGACATCGAATCGGAGATTGACGAGCAGCTATCTATTGCCGAGCAAAAGGCGCGGCAGGAGGTACATCTAGTGCCGGCGTCTTGCTACTTTTGTTTTAGGAACGGGAACGGCTGGAGAAGGAAAAGACGGCAATGCGCGAAAAGATGGAAATGGAAATGCGCGAGATGCGCGACAATATTGAACGGCTGCAGCGGGTAGGGTAGAAAGCTTAGGACTTGCATGTTTTCAGGTTGAAGCTATGCTGGAGCGAGAGAGCCAGCGCAAGGGGGCTGCCATAGAATTGCGAACCCAATTGCATGTAAGCATTTTTTGAAGCTTCAAATAGTACATAGCTTATTCCCTTTTGGAAATACTTTATCTGTAAACCTTTTCATGTAACGTTTTAGGAGTTGTCGACTGAAAATGTGGACCTGCGGCGAAATCTCGCTGAAAATCACCTTGAACTGGCCGTTATCAAGTCTGAATTGGCGAGTTATTTTTGAAAAGTTTATCTATATTTTAGGCGCAAACCCGGGCCGACTATGACACAAAACGGATGCAACTCGCCTCGGAGATGGAGCGGGAACGAGCCTCACACTCTGACTCGGAACAAGTGCATAAGCAGCTGCAGCTTTTATTGTTGGCTGTTTGGAAACGTTTACAGAAATGACCGTTTAGTGACGCCAATCGTAAGCTTGCCGAGACGAATGAGAGTCTTCGCCATGCGCTCGATCGCAGGAAGAGCATCGCGCATGAATTTCATTTGGTTAGAGTTTTATTACTTTAAAGGGATTAAGAATCTTATCAGTTTTTAGGAGTTAATTTTTTCTAGCGTTCCCCATCGCCAGCTGTTACGCCAGGAAGCCGTCGACCAATGGATCGATCAGCGGCTCAACTCTTCAGCCCTGCTACGTTCTCGCGAGCTTCCGACGAAGAAGGTATGGAACTTTTTCTGAAATACGAGCCGTCGATTTTCAGATAGTGGCCTCGCGGCGGGTTACGAAAGTAGTGATGTTGATGACAGGCCGATTCTGATGCAGGTTGGCGAAATTTCCGGATTTTTATTCGATCAATGGCATGCCGATTTTAGGATGTGCCATCAGGGGCGACAGCCGAGCGGACGTTCCGTGTCGTGATGTGTGGGGATGCGGCGGTGGGCAAAAGCTCGCTGGTCAATCGGATTGTCAACGGTCAATTCAACAACAATCTCCCGTCGACACTTGGTAGATGCTCAAAAAAGCACGACATTACGACTTTCATCTTTAGGCGTCGATTTCCACGTGAAGACGGTTTGTACGGAGGGGAAGATTGTCGCTCTGCAGCTGTGGGACACGGCTGGCCAGGAGCGATTCAGGTGGGCTTCCGCAGGAATCTCTGTTAGCATGCTTCCGGCCGGATTGTAAACGACACCGGTTAAATCGGCCATTTAAAATTAAATTAAAGTTAATGAAAATGCTTCACAGATCGCTGTGTAAGTCGTACTTTCGGCGGGCAGATGGTGCGATTCTTGTATACGATGTCTCCAGCGAACAGTCTTTTCTTCGGGTACGCCATTGGATGGAAACGATACAGGTTTGGGATTATACGATGCACCAACTACCGTACTCTAACTTTAGGAAGCTGTCGAGCGCCCGATTCCAATTGTGATGCTGGCCAACAAATGTGATCTGCGCCAGGCGGGCCGTGGAGAAATTTCGGCCACCCAGGGATCATCACTAGCATCGGTGCGTTTTTAAAAGGCCTACGAAAATTATACTAAACCAAAAAAAATAGTTTTTAGCCAATAGCTTTATACCATTGCAGAAAATGGGAGTGCTTTTCGCGGAAACGAGTGCCCTCGACGGGTCGAATGTGGAAGCAGTGGTGCACACGTTGACCAAGTGAGGCAGACCGACAGAGATCTTTTCGGAAACAAGCTTTCCTTTCACGGACTTCCACTTTTTAGGGAAATGCTGGCCGTTGAGGATGTTGAGGTGAAGGCCAGCGGCGTCGTGCTGACGAAGGGGCCGCAGAAGAAGAACAAGTGCTGTGGATAGCCGTTATGCCCGGTGTTGAAGATGCCCGAGATCCTGTAGTTTGTGTTCTGCCGATTGTGATTCGGAAAAACTCGCTGAATACTGTGATACACCCGTTTTCGCACTAATCCCTTCTCGCCACCTCACCCTGTCAATGCCATTATCAACAAAATGATGTTTTGTAAATTTTTATTTTGCAGATGATAATAAAATGCAAATTTAAAGCGAGGTACATGTAAACGGGGGCCCAAGCCTGAATTACACGACGCAGAATAACATCTAAAGGTCCTTGTAATGCCGCAGATATGTGTGTGCAATCAACGTCCTAAACAAATTCTTTATTCACAAATATCCATGGTCTTTCAAAAAAAGAAATGAATTAAAAGAAGCGACAGAAAGGAACGGAATGGTACGGACGCATTAATGGTGCACAATTGAGGGGGAAGTCTTTTCGGGTTCTATTGGCGGGTAGATCGTTCCTTGATCTCCTTGAGGGAGCGATAGATCTTGCCCATCTCGGGGCGAGCCTTCGATTCTTTCTCCCAGCACTGGTAGATGAGCTTGGCGACACTCGGGGGGGCAGTCCTGAAAATGTCGAAAATCTTTAAAAGGTTTTTAGATGGTTTTCTAGTAGCAATATAGTTTATCTTATTCAACTCGTCATTAAAAAAAATAGCGTATTAGTTATCCCAGAAAACGTACCTTCGGCATCTCCATCCGATAATTTTGGACAATGATCTTGGCGCGTGTCTGGATGTTGGACAGTCCGGGGTAGGGCTCCGATCCGTCGGCGTAGATCTCCCACACGAGCACACCCAAAAACAGTGGTAAAGGTTGCTTAACGGGGGGGGGGGGGAACAACTTTTTCTTAGGAGTAGACTTTATTCTTTCAAATATAAATAGCTGGAGTTTTTCTAAATGGTTTTTTTATAAAAGTAAAAACCTTACAAGGTTTTAAAAAATACAAAAATATCAATTTTCCAATCAAGAACGACCGTTTTTCAACAAAATTTCGTTTTCTGAAGGTTTTTAGATAGTTTTCTAGTAGAAACATACACCTATTAATTTACTAGTTACTAAAATTCTGACCCCCCCCCCGATAATGCAAAAAAACCTGGAAACAATGCTCTAAGCTGTGGTAATGAGGCTACCATAGCTCCAGACATCGGTCTTCAGCGAGTACAGCTTATCCTGCAGCGTCTCCGGGGCCAACCACTTGACGGGCACCTTGTCCAGGGTGTCGTCGTGTACAATCTTCTTGTCGTCCGACATCCCGAAATCGGAGATCTTGACCTCCTGAAGAAGTGGGAGCATTTCCGTGTGTGCTTCTCGCGGATACCGCCTTGCCGCTGAGGAGACAGTTCCGGGCGGCAATGTCACGATGGATGCAGCACTGCTTCTCGAGGTACCACAGTCCGTCGGCCGCTTCCGTAGCGAATCTAGGAATTAAACGTGGTAGGAAACAATACGTTTTCAGCCGTTTCGGGATAGAGGTTTCGTGGCTAAAAATTTTCGGTTCTAGACTCTTAGCGGGGGAGACTAAATTTTCCCAGTCATACCGTAGGCCCTATAACCAAATATAAACTATTTTTTTATAGCATTTTACATAGTTTTTAGATACAAAAAGCGCGTCAAAATTTATAAAATTTTCGAATAGTTTTGGCTTTTTGGCTTCTTTTTGGAACCGAACCTTCTTTTCTAACAACTTAATGGAAAGCGTTTCAATAGTGTTTTTAGTAAAATAAAACCACCTTTTAACCAGAAAAATTATTAATAAACTAAAAATCGAAATTTGGTCAAAAGCGGCGATGCTGATCGAAAAATCGATTTTTTTAGGGTTTTTGACTAAAAATTTGTAAAGTTTCCACCTTTAACAAGAGTAAAAATCGTCTAGAAATATTCCAATGTCAGTATCTAAAATCGGATCCAAAGAGAAAACCTGAAAAACAGTGGTTTTCTCGCCACGAACCCTCCCCGCTAACAGCCCAGAACCGGAAAGGTTCTGTTCTATTTCGCGGGGGGGAAAAAACTGTGCGGGGGGGAAAATATGTTTCGCGGACCTTGCATTTTTTCGCTATTTTCTCGGGATTTTTGCAACGCCATTCGATAGAGCATCAAAAAATATACTAAGAGTTTTTGTTTTAGCTAAAAATATTGTAATATAAATAAGTTACAGCAAAAACAAAAAAAACTATTGAAACTCCTTCCGGAATGTTAGTTTTCGGCATTTTGGACATTTTTTCGATATTTTGAACTTGTCATTCGATAGAGCATCAAAAAATATACTAAGAGTTTTAATTTCATCTAAAAATATTGTTTTATAAAATAGTTATAGCAAAAACAAGGTTTATTCGGTGTTTCCACATGGGATCGTGTAGTCGAAAGCTAGTTTTCGACATTTTCGATAACTTTCAAAAATTTCTTTAATGCCATTCGATAGAGCGTCAAAAAATATACTAAGAGTTTTAATTGCAATTCAAAATAGCATCATATAAAAGAGTTATAAAAAAACTAGGAAAATTTCCCCCCGCACAGTTTTTTCCCCCCCCGCGAAATAGAACAGAACCCCGGAAACAAGCCATGCAAACCAAAAAAACGTGTCGTACCGAATCTTGATGGCACCATCCATTTTGCCCTTATTCTTTCGCAGGTAGGAGAGTAGAGAACCCCCAGGGCACACCTCCATCACAAGCATCAACGGGTGCTCGTGCACCGCCACACCAAGAATCTAACAAAACGAAGTGTTTAGAAGGGGTGAAATTAAGAGCCGCACCTTGACGACATGTTTATGGCTGTACTTTCTCATCAGGCGGGCCTCCTTCATGAATCTGAGGCGAGCCTCGCGGGTCACCTCGGTGCGCATCGTCTTCACCGCCACCTCTTGCTTGTCCTTACCCATCGCGTATTCAGCCAGAAATACCTAAAATATCGTCAAATTAATGCGAAAATCGATACTGGACTGTTAGCGGGTGGGAAAACTTTTTGTAAAAGTTCAAACTTAAAAAAAACTGTGTAACTATCTAAAAACTTCAAAAAATTTTGAAAAAGTAGAAATTTGGTCTTAAATCGCCCCTTTTTGGTCGAAGAATCGATATTTTTTATGTTTTTAATCAAAAACTATTAAACTATTTATATTTGAAAAATGCGAGCCTAAGAAAAATTTTGGGTAAGACTCCAGATAACCCCCCAGCCGGCAGCCAACTTTTGTATCACGGCTCCCTGTTCATCTACAGGTGCGTAAAGTATACGAAAATGTTCGTCCTGCTCTGGCGAGTATTTTGGCAAATGTTACACACCTGTAGATGAACAGGGAGCCGAGCTACGGTAGGTGGGGGTCGGCTGGGAGGGGGGTTATCTGGAGTGAAGCCAAATTTTGGTTGATTCCATTTTTGATCAACCAGCCAAAGAATAATTGTTTATGATTGTTTTTATATCTAAAAACTATGTAAAATGCCATAAAAATGGTTTGGATTTCATTATAGGGCTGTACGGGATCACTGCGGAAAATTTAGTCCCCCCCCCCACCGCTAACAGTCCCGAACCAAAATCTTCATCTTCTCACCTCCCCAAAAGCACCCTCTCCAAGCTTCTTGACGAGTGTGATGGAATCGTGGTTGAGCAGCCAGGCCGTCCTCTCCACCGGTCGCTTCAGCACGGCATTTGAGGTGGCCGACAGCGGGGTCTTTGTCGTCCTTCAAAATAACACAATCGGTTTTTGGTTGCTTCTACCTATGCCAATTTATGAGTTCCGAGATGGACTTTTCGTGATGGCCCTCCAGATAGAATGTTCCGCTGGGATCTTGGTTGATCATGAAGTGACGCACCGCCGTCCCCACTCGAACCGAAATTGCCAGCACGATCACGCCTGAGAAATGGACGTTTTTGTGGTACTGGACTGTTAGCGGAGGGGAAGCCACTTTTTGTTTTTTCCGCCTATTGATAATGTATAAGGAAACAATTAGCATAGCGTTTCAAAGGTAAGTAGCGTTTCTCATTTTTGTCTTCGAAAATCGTGAGAATTATTCAAAGTGAAGAATATCACGGCGCCAGGGTTGAAAAGTCGCGAAGCGGCTTTTCACCCTGGTTTTTGATAAAAACTCAATTTTTTTCGAGAATTTTCATTTCTTTATACATTTTTTAGATCTCAGAACTGTAAAATACAACGAAAATGGCTTTTATTTGGTTTTTCAGGCAAATTTCATCTCCCCCCCCCGCTAATAGCCCAGAACTGAAAAAAAAATATGGGCGGTCAAAACTTAATCAAAAAACGACAAAAACGTGAAAATTTCGAATTTTAATTGCATTTTTATTCCGAAGCGCAACATGAATTAAGAAATTTTGCTAGTAACCCTACCAGGGGTATGTTCAGTCTTCCTCAACAGGAAATCCCCGTCCTTCTTCAGCAGCGGCTCGACGTCGGTACGCGGCACAAGTCCGTGATAGTATTCTGCTCCGCGGACATCATCCGTGATCGAACTCGTATCATCATTCGCCTCAAAAGCGCCAAGGTTGAAAGCCACTAATAAATTACCTGATTCTTCGTTTCGGTGCGCGTCGATTTTGGGGGTGCCTCGGATGGTGAAGTGGCCATGGCGCATGAAGCGATTGAGGCTATTCTACAGCCTTCTCACCCATTTTGTAGTCGGATACCGTCGAACCGGAAGTGGCATTCATTCTGAATTATCGATTCAAAGATCGTATTTAAAGGATGGCCAGGCGTCCGTCGGGGTGTCGGAACGACGGGATGCTACTATCGACATAGTCGTATTCGGAATTTGTAATTTTATGCAAAGACCATTTTCGGTGAGGTGAGAAACCCGGAATCGGCCCGTGTAAGGGCCCCCTAGGGTATTTGGAGGCTTTTCGCGTCAGCGGCTGGTTTGGCGCTATAGTGTACTGGTTAGCACGCTGGGCTGTGGGGTGCACCATCGCTGGTTCGACTCCCGCCCGGTGCAAAATTATTTGCTTTTTCGCCAAATGCATCTTTCTCAAGGCTTTTCAGCGTCTCGAGAAAGACTTTTCATTTTTACAGTTTTCGAGCGATCAAAAACTATAAAAGTCAAAATGCCCCCTATTTCGAGCCGAAATTAATCCTACTACCAGGGTTGAAAAGCCGCTTCGCGACTTTTCAACCCTGGCCCCGTCTTGGACCCCATACTATTCTTCCCTTTGCATAATTGTCCTCCATTCAATCAGAAGACAAAAAATGAAAACAACCGTTTCTGCCTCTTTATATAGACGACCACCCACTTCCGCTCTATGCTAATTATTCCTAACAAAGAGGTTTTTACAAAAACTTAAATTTAATAGCGAAAATGGCTAATTTTTCAAAATCTCATATGTGTGCAGTCATCCCTAGACCATTACGCACCTAATGACGTATCATACGTAGCCTAATACCCGTCCCTTCTTGAGATATCCTCCGGACAGACAGACGGAAGTGGATGCAAAGTGGCACACACACACACACACACACACACACACACACACACAAACACTATTTTTTTATATATAGTAGGATATATAAAAAAATAGTGTATGTGTGTGTGTAACTTTGCATGCAACTTCCGTCAGTATGTTCCAGTCGTATCTCGATAGAGAATGGGTTTTAGAGCATGTTTGATATGTCATTAGATGCGTAATGGTCTCGGAACCACTGAACGCATGTCAAATCGCCGAAAAAGTGTTATTTTCGGTATTAAAATTAGATTTTTAGTAAAAATTTCGGTCACCCGCTTTGTTAGGAATCAATTAGCATGCGCCGGAAGTGAGAAAAGCTTATATAAAGAGGCCGAGGGCGTATTTTTCATTTTTGGCATTGCGATTCGCGAGAATTATGCAAATTGAGAACTCCTATTGCATAAGACGGGGCCAGGGTTGAAACGTCGCGAAGCGGCTTTTCAACCCTGGTGATCTCTAAAAACATTAGGATTATTCAGGTATCCCCGTTATTCCCCCCCCCCCCGTTAAGCAACCTTCACCGGGTGAATGTTTGACCCGTTGTCTGGCAAGTGATTTGTTGTGTACAGGCCGTGAGCATGAGGGGGCGGGGCAAGGGCGAGGAGAGGAGCGGGGTGTCCGGCCGATCCTTTTACTAGAGCCATTCTCCGCATCTATCACCTCCACCACCATTCCCTTGCCTCGATTTGGCAGTTGCATTTTTGCGGGGGCGATATTTGTAGTGAGAAAGAAAATTCTAGCTCAGGATTAACTTAATTATAGTGCATTTTTTATGAATAGTTCGAAGCCTAAGCATACACCTACACCTAATTGTAAGCCTACGCCAAGCCAAGCTTAAGCCTAAGCCATGACAAACCAAGCCAAGCCCGATCCAATCCAAGCCTAAGCCTAAGCCAAAGCCCAAGCCTAAGTTTCTCTTAAAAATTTAAAAACTAACCGACTTTCTAGAATTTTTTTGTTAAGGCCTACGAATTTTCTAACGCATATTTTAGCTCTAAACCAGGGTTGAAAAGCCGCTTCGCGACTTTTCAACCCTGGCCCCGTCTGACCCCGTTTTATCCTTCACTTTCCATAATTTTCCTGAATTCAGATGACAAAAAATGAAAAAGTACTTGTTTAGCCCCTTTATATAGTCGAATCCCCACTTCCGGTCTACGCTAATTGTTCCTAACAAAGAGATTTTCACAAAAACTTAAATTTAATGTCGAAAATAGGTGATTTTGTTAAACCTGATATGCGTGCAGTCATCTCCAGGCCATTACGCATCTAATGACGTATCATACATCCCTTCAAATTCATCCCCTATCGAGATATCCACCGGACAGACATCCGGAAGTGGATGCAAAGTGGCACACACACACACACAGACACTATTTTTTTATATATAGTAGGATTCTAGGGTTTCCAAATGCTTTTTTTCTATTTTTTTCCTCCTGTTTCTCTTCAACTATACTTTTTTGGGGTAAAGAAACTGAATTTCCGCTACTTTCCAGAGATGCTAGCACACGCACTGGTGGTCGTCGCCGTTTTTGCCGGCGCCCTCGCTCAAGGTCGGCGAGTTTTGGTGTTTTTTAAATTTTTTTTGAAATTATCATAAAGATAAAATTCTAAATGTACTGATTTAGACCAGCCGGTGTGCGCCGACAACGAGATGTTCAACGGGCGAGTGTGCGTCTGCGCGCCCGGGTGAGATTTTTCGCGAATCTTTCCAGATTTTGCTTCTTTTTGCTATCACCTTTTTATATTACAACCTTTTGGAGTGAAATTAAAATGCGCATTGTATTTTTCTTGATGCTCTATCGAATGGCGTTATCAAAATTTTCAAAAAGAAGTGGAAAAGAAGAATTGTCGATGTCGAAGAATCGAAAAATGGATTTTTCAATCCGATTTTCAAAGTGTATTTTTTGTATTTTTTTATATTACAGTATTTTTGGTCGAAATTAAAACGCATAATGTGTTTTAATGCACCATTAATTGGCCTTTTCAAACCATTAAAATTAACTTTACAATTCCATGCTCCAGGGGCATTTTTGTTTTTTTTTGCAATAACTTTTTTATCTGTCATGATTTTGGGTTTAAATTCATGCAGTTGGGTTTTTTTTGATGCTCTATCAAACGAATGCCATCAAAAATTAACAACAATACGAAAATATCGAATTTTGGGGCCTTGGACCTTGGAACCGGAAAACCAGCCTGAGGTTTTTGCAAAAGCCCCCCGATAACGTAAAAGCACCCATTTTCCGCTAGATCCTGCCTTTTTCACGATTCCAATCAATGCGTTGGCTAGTGGCGGTAGTGGTGGTGGTAGATGGCTTATCTTCGATTCCTCCTGAGGTCTCCGTCTATGACCTCGATCCTCAGCCCTCTCTTGTCCATTGCCCCCTTCTTCTTCTACTCGCATAAAAACTCCATTAGCAGCGATCGTTTACGTGGATGGGACACACAGCCGGGTTGGCGATTGGCCAGGCAGAAGAAACAACGGACGGGGGTGAAAACAATGGGGGGGAACTTTTTGAGGGTTCGGTCGGATATGTTTGGCAGAGTGTCATTTAGGAAACCTCATAGTCGTGGCATTATCCTTGGACTTAGGTCTAGGCTTCGGTTTGGCTTCGGCTATGCCTGGGCTGGGCTTAGGCTTCGGTTAGGCTTAGGCTTAACCTGATGCTCAGGCTTTGCGCAGGCTCAAGATTCACCTGATGCTCGAATCTGGGCTTAAGCTCAAGTTAAGCCTAGGCTCAGGCTTAGGCGTAGACTCACGTTCGGTTAGGTTTAGACTTCGTTTTTGCTTAAACGTGGGCTTAGGCTAGGCTTATGCTCAGGCTCAGGCTTATGATCAAGCTTAGGCTCAGTTCGGGCTTAGGCTTAGATTAGGCGTTTCCAGGAAGTCCCGATGACCTCATCATCCAAGAATTTGTTGAGTCACCAGTTTTGGCGCTTGCGATTTTTCCAGGCGCCAGGCAGGGGATGTTTTGAAAAAACGAGCCGTTTTTGCCCTTATTTGTGTGTGTACCGGTGCTCTCTGTCTCTCTCTCTCTCGCTCTTTCTCTCGTTCTCTCCCTCTCGCCTGTTTGTGCCCTAATTGGGTGATGGGCCAGAGCAGGAGAAGGCGCGCCTGGGCTTGGATCAGCCCCCGGGATTTTGACCTTGACGAGAAACGGTTGTCCCAGCTTGGCAGAGAGAGAGAGAGAGCGAGAGAGAGAGATTTGTCTCTCTCTCGGCTCGAGCGGCGAGATGCGCGGCCCGAAAAAGGGGGGGATTTCTGGGGAAGAAGAACCGTTTCCGCCGGGGTGCGAACACGCGGTAAACACACCCAATACACTTGAATTTCGAGGGGGGGCAGAAACGGATGAAAACGGGTGGAAATTTGTGAGGATGGCAGGGTAGGGGTTTTGTTTTTTTTTTGCTGTGAAATAGGAATCGGACCGGAAATGGCTAATTTCATTTTCAAAATTCTTGAGATCGAATGTGCCATGGATAGAAAACGACCGGTCACCTTTTCGTAGCGGCAGACTAGTTTTTCGCAATTTAACCTGGTTACTTCCGGTTAGGAACAAACGCTAAAAAGCTGGTGACAGCGCGGATGCGTTGCGGCTAAGCTTTGATTGCCATCACCCCGCCTCGCGTCTGTTTCCGTGCGTTGCGGCTGACGCGCCGCGCTCCCGTCGCGGCAGTGGCAGGCGTATCCCGCTTTTTAACGCAACATAAGCGGCTGCGTCGTCGTCGCGTTGTGTCTCGTCGCGGATTAGCGGCTATACGAAACGCGACGCGTCTTTTCAAGCGTCGCGGTGCCGCGAAGAAGCCAGGTTTTTGTAAAATGGCCTTTGTTCCTTCTTATTTTTCCCAAAATCGATGCCATGCTGTACACAACGCTCCGTATAATCATTGCGTAATTGTTTCGGGTCGGAAAAAGCAATTCGGGCAGGGAAACCATTTTTAATGGATTCCACCCGGGTGAAAATGTAACCGATGCCCTCCCTGATCGCCAGAAAACCGGTTTATGCCGGGTGGAAACTTTCGCGCATCTCTCTCTCTCGCTCTGCCTCTCTCTCTCTCTCTCTCGCAACCATCAAAATCAAATTGTAGGTATTTTTTTTTGTTGTGTTGAGGGAGGGTCAATCAATTGGGGGGCAATCCATCCCCAAAACCATCCATCCGACTGCCCGTTCCGGTGCGCTCCAGCAGGAATTTTTGTTGGCGGTCGCAATTTGGACAGTGGCGGAATCGATGGGATACGGCCACTCCCCACTGCACCCGATTCCGCTGTAAGGTCATTTGTTTTCCATCGGAATATGATGGCATGGGGGGTTCCGGTGGATTTGCGAAAATCGCCGTAGGACCGCGAGAGGTTAGAAAACGACTAAAAAACGTGAGAAGATTGCCAAATTTTACCGTACCCAATTTTTTTTGTATAAAAACACGAATTTAATGTTCTTTCGATGAATTTATAGTCTTTCTAAATTGAGGGGTGCTAGCAGAGATCCTTTAGGAACCCGTTTTTACCGCTTTAAAGGGACCGGTAAGGCTGTTTATGGCTTTTAGGCCCTAGATTTCCTATATTTACGCGCCGCGAGGCGCAACGCACAGACCGCGCAGCTACGTTTACACCGCGTAATCGACTACGTGTTGGAAAGGCCGTACGCTTGCGGTAAAAATAAAATAGAGAAATCGTGCGACCGCTTTTTCATCGCGTAATGACATCGATCAAGAGGACTATGGCCTCTTCGGAGCGGCCAGGAGTGTCACACGTTGCGTGTCGCGACGTGGTTTCATGCCCTGCCCGTTTCTTCAAACCCAAATAGCCGGCCGCGAACTTGTCGTGCCCACAAAATGACAGCGGTCAATGACAGCTTGCTGTCAGGGGTGTAAATTGGACTGTCCGGAACTGCGTTGTTTGTAGCCGTTCGTTGTCTACAGAAAGCGAGAGAGAGAGAGAGAGAGAGAGAGAGAGAGAGAACGGGAAAGCCTCATTTCCACTTCCGAGAAAACAATGCCCTGAGGGTATCTGCGAATGGGGGAATCCATTCCGGGCGCGAACGTTTTTTCGTCTATCACTCTCTCTCTCTCTCTCTCTCTGTCTCTCTCAAGAAAAAAGGGACTTTTCCGCCACGTTGAGCGCTGGATGGGGCGAAACTGGGGGGCTTCCCAGGGGCTACTCCTTACAGAAAACTTTCGATATCTCTAGTATAGTAACACCTTCAAGGGGTTTCGTATTTTAAAGGGACGTAGAAGCCATTTTCGGCTATGGATTGACGCGACTGAATTTTATTGCGTGATGGATTAATTCTTCTAAAGGGGCTGGGAAGGAAATTTTTGACTACGGAAAACTTATAAATCCGACGTAAATCGAGGGCACAGCAAAAATAATTATTGATGAAATAATTACATAAATAAAGAAACAAACTTTATATATCAAAGTAAACTTTCTAAAATTTTAAAATCAAGCTTGAATTTTTAAATCTATGTAAAATACGTGAAAAATAACTGTCATTTTGCAGATACTTCGCGAACGTAAGCGAGGCCCGGTGCAGCGACGAGTGCGATGATGTGGGTGATTTCTAAGGGGGAAGAGAAGCTTCTTCTTTAGGTGTACGCTTCCTGGTTCACGGAGGGCAACTGCATCCAGGCTTTCTCCTCCATTGAAGCCGCCAACCGACCTCATTGCCAGCTCCGGGTACTTTAGACGTGATTTCCTAGCCCTGGCCAAAAAAACAAAAAGTTTCATCGCGGCCGGGTTTTGAACCCGGACCTTGTGTCTGGGTGGCAAGCGCACTACCAATACGCCAACGTTTCAAATGTCCTTTTTTGATAACGACATTTAATGTAACCGATTAAACCTAATTAAATCCATTTTTCAGTGCGGTTTCCGGATCAAGCTGATCCCGCAGATTGGCCTGCTCGTCATCGTCGCCGCCGCCCTCTCCACCCTTTTCTTCACGATCCCGATGTGCATCGCCACGTGCTGCTCGTGCATCCAGGCCAAGAGGGTACGTATTTTAGGCCATTTCCGGGCAGGCTAGCCGAGTTTCTTGTGGAATTTTAGATGGAGCTGTGGATGACTAGCAGAGATCGTTGGGAATTGATTTTTTGGCGTTGTCAGACCCAATTTTACCTTTCTGGGGCTTTAAAGGGGCAGGCAGGGCTAATTGACTGTAAGCAATTACGCAATGAAAAGCCGAGCGATGTAGCGGAGCGAAAAAATCTAAAAGTCTATAGCCAAGCCCTGCCTGTTCCTTTAAAGGGGCTAGAAAGCTCGTGAATCGGCCCCTTTCGGCAACTAGGTCTCGACAAATGTGCTCGGAGGCTAAAATACATTTCTGATTTCGATTTTATCGTCCTTTTTAGCGTATTTAGGCTTATCACGTAGTTGTCGAGGGCCAGGCGAATATGGGGGTCGATTTTGGGAGCGTGTGAGTGAGAGAGCGAGCGAGAGAGTGTGAGACAGAGAGATAGAGATAGCGAAAGACCCTATTCAGTTCGCAACCTATATTTCCGGGATGGTCCTTCCGTCCCATTCCAATTGACGGTTGCTAGCTGGCGAATCTGATATGGAAGTGGGGGGGATAGTGTGATTGGTCGCATTCCTTCATTTCTCCCCCGGCGCCAATTGTAGAGCTGCGCTGTGTCGATCAGTGGGGGGAATCTGGGACAATGTGTCGCTCTCTCTCTCTCTCTCTCTCTCTCTCTCTCTCTCTCTCCCTCGCCTGGATCATATCAGCCCCCGCCTCGAGCACTATCAATGCTGAAGGTCAATCTCGAATCCAGGGGATGAAACAGAGACGAAACTGCGGCTAGGGATTAGTCCTGGAAACTGGCAGGCTAGCAGGGATTCTTTGGGAAAAAAGATAAGCTATCGTGGAGAGAGCGAGAGTGGGAGAACGCGAGAGAGAGACAGAGAGAGAGAGCTAGAGAGAGAGAGAGAGAGAATGAGCGAGAGAGAATGAGCTAGCCTCAATTTTAGAGTTATGCCAAACCCATTACGCCATCTAATTCCAGGCAAACAAGAACGCGAAGCGCGTCTACAACGACACCCAAGCATCCAAGTCCCAAGAGGTGAGTGGTGTCATTTGTTATAACTTGTAGTCGATCTACCGTATCTATACCGTACTCTTACGTATACTATCGTATTGTTGCGCCAAATACTGCATTCTCGCGTACAATACTATGCTCTTATGTACACTATCGTCTTCTTACGTAAAATATGAGACCGCACGCCTGCGTAAAATACCTTATTCGACGTACCATATAGTAATCTCGCGTATAGTACCGTACTACGTACCATACCGTATTCTTACCTTAAATACCGTATTTAGGTGTCAACCGTCGGCTACAACCCGTACGCCTACTGGCCATACTATGGACGCTCTTAAATTGTGCGGAAATCCCCTCTGAAAATCCACCAAAAAATCAGGGCCCCAGCTTAAACGCCACTTTAACCGAATTCTATCTCGTAATTTGCAGCGTAATTTTTAACTACGAACCCTAGAAATTTAACAGAATTTATGCACTGCCAAATGTTCTATAAAAATCGATGAAAGCCCAAAAAAATCGAATAATAACTACCCGAGTTTGCTCAAAATGTGATAGTTTTTCTATCTCTGTGTGTCCTTTTCCATCTCTGCCTTTTCAAGACCTTTACAGGCGGCATTTAATAAAAAGATTTATGCAAGGATCTTTATCGAATTGAATTTACATAACATACAAAAATATTAATCGATTGATCTCCATAGATTTGTACACAAAAAAATAAGGCACTGGCATCTCGAGGAAGTGGCAAAATTAAAGATTTAAATCTATTAAAAAAACCCGTTTCTTCTGAAAGAATGCATGGCGGGAATCACGGAAGGGTGGAGATCGGAAAGGGGTGTAGTTTGTAGTGTGTAGTTTCTAGTCGTATTTTGTAGCCTGCGGTCAATTACGCCATTTAAAAGTCGTAATGGGAGTGGGCAGGGCGGCCGGTGGATGGCTGGGAATATCTGAAGATTTTTCGGTTTTTAAAGGATCCGCAAAGTTGTGGTTAAGCCTACAAAGTTAAGCTTAAGCCTAAGCCCAGGTCAAGGTCAAGCCTAGGCCTAATCCTAAGCCAATCCTAAGCCTATGTAAGCCCAATCCCCTAAGCCTAAGTCTGACCCTAAGCCGGATCCTAAGCCTAAATCGAAGCCCAGCCTAATCCAAGCCTAAGCTCAGCCTGACCCTAAGCTGGACTCTAACAAGGAGTCGCTTTTAGGTGCTTTTGGAGTTTCGGAACGGGACCTAGCTAGTACGATAGAGAAAAAAATTCTGAGCAACATCCCGTTTTCAAAAAGTGCTGATCGATAAAGGTGTTTTAGAAAATTTAATTTAATGAACAATGTTCCCGGTATCGGCACCCTTGTGGTGATTTGAGGTTATTTGCGGCGGTCGACCCCCCCCCTGTCACATGGGGACTTCATGCGCCTTGGATCCCGTCCTAGGCATGGCCAAGTGGCTAGTGCCTCGGCCTACGAAGTTTTTTTTGGCCTTTTGCCACAAGTTCGATTCTTATTTATCGTTAACTTTTTGCTTTTTTGCTAATTAAATTTTTATGCGCCGATAACGGGTTCAAGAACCAAAAATCAAACGGTTAGCCAGCGCGAAGATTCGAACCCGAGGCAAAAAAATGTTAAAAAGTTGGTAGGCAAGCGCGCTACCAATACGCCAATGCAACCTGTGATGGAGGCCTTGGCGGAATGTTATGAATGGCGCCTTGCCCAGCCCCGAAAACGACGTGAACCGAAGAAATGGACCCGAAAACTAGAAAAAAAAGCGCCAACTTTAAATTAAATTTTCTAAAATTCCTGTATTGATCAGCACTTTTTGAAAATGGTATGGTGTTCAGAATTTTTTTCTCTATCGAACTAGCTAGGTCCTGTCCTGAAATCCAAAAGCACCTAAAAGCGACTCCTTGTAAGCCTAATTTAACCTAAGCCTAACCTAAGCCAAGTCTAAGCCTGAGCCTAAGCCTAAGCTAAACCGAAGCCTAGCCTAAGCGTAAGCCTAAACCTAAGCCCTAAGCCTAACCTAGGCCCTAACCTAGCAACCAAAGCCAAGCCTAGGCCGAAGCCCAAATCAGAATCATTCCTTGACAGTCCCGTTAAAACGACCCAATTACCGTATATAAGTATCCTCCGGCAGATCACCAATGTCAATGAGATGTGAAGGGCCATCGAGCACTGAAAAGGGCAGGCTAGCAGAGATCTTTTGGGATATGCCTTACTCTGGCTTCCCTTGGCGAATAATTGGCTCGTCTCGATTGAATATCGGATCTTGCCGTTGTTTTTGTCGCGTTGGGTGGCTCTAAAAGATGGCAGGATACAGTAGTTTGTGGGATAGGCATACCTGCAGAAGCAGAGGCAGACAGCTAGAGGAAGACAGACGCAGAGAGCTACACCGATACCCACCACCCAGAGTGCTTCTTGACTGTGGTCTAAAATGGAGTGATAGAGAGAGAGAGAGAGAGAACAAGAGCGAGAGAGCGAGAGAAAGAGCCAGAGAGAGACCGACAGACAGAGAGAGAGACAGAGAGAGAGACAGAGAGAGGGAGAGAGAGAGAGAGAGAGAGAGAGAGAGAGAGAGAGAGCGAGAGAGAAAGGGAGAGAGAGCGGCAGCTAGAGAAAAAGTTAGGGAGGTAGAGGGTTAGAGAGACAGTGAGAGAGCGAACCAAAGATGAGGTGCAGAGAGGTATACAGAGAGCGAGAGAGAGAGGGCGAGGGAGAGAGAGAGAGTGAGAGAAACATAGAGAGACAGATCCATTTCTCATCCTCCTCCCTACCTCCAAAAAATTTCGCGACCATCAGTACATCATGCGCCACACCAACGAAATTTGGATTCTCCTCCTCCACCGGCACCTCTTCCTCCTCTTCTTTTAGCGGCTGACCACGCATTTCTACAAAAATTTTGCCTTCTAAGTCCCTTTAAAGCTCAGGCTCACCCGCATCACTCAGCAAAATAGGCGGAGGCGGCTCGTTGAAGCTCGGACCGCTGGGACCACGATGAACCGAAGATTGATCTCGCATCGAATGTTCTAAAAAAATGATATTTGATGAAACTCTTGCTCCAGGCAGGCTAGCAGAGACCATTTGAAACACTCACCAATATGCTCTTCAACAGCAATCTCCCTTGGCAAGACCTCTCTCTTCTCATCGGGCTTCACCTGGGCCTCTTTTTTCAGCTTCTCGGGGTTGGGTTTGGATTCTTTAGATGGAATCTGGGGTTGTGAAGGAGGCTTCTGCTCGATTTGTGCGGGTTTTTCATCTTCCCATCCATTTCCCGAGCCTTCTAGGTACTAAAATAACATTATTATAGGGGAAATTAAGATAACGTTTGCCTTGAAATGTTTGGAGAGTTGGAGCTCGCCGCGGAGGGTTTCTTCGCTGAAGATTTCTTCATTGACTAAAGGGAGTTGAATTAGTATGAGTCGCAGGAGGGAGAACGAGAGAGAGCGAGAGAGATAGAGAGAGAGAGAGAGAGAGAGAGAGAGAGAGAAGGGGAGAAAGAGCGCTAGGGAGAACGACATACAGACGTGAGCGTGATGAGAAAGAGTGAGTGACGGAGAGAGAGACAGAGAGCGAGAGAGTGAGAGAGCGAGAGAAAGAGAAAGCCTGAGAAAGAGAGAGAGAGAGAGAGAGAGAGAGAGAGAGAGGGAGGAGAGATTTCCCAGCTTACCGCACACAAAAGTGACGTGCAGAGCATTGGGTCGCCCACAGGTTTTCCCCAGCCGCTTCTCATCGAGCGGCATCGAGCATACGGGTTGACCATGGCAGCTGAGCAGCTCCGATAGAACATCTCGACCACAGCCACCTGTAAAGAGGAGCGTAATGTAGCCCCCTCAATTTCTATGTAATTTTTATGGTTTAAAAATTCTTTTTAATCCCTTAGCCAGACTAAATTTTGAGGGGCGAATTAGCATAATCCTTAAGCCCATGAAGATGTGGATGGGGGGCTATAATCGAATTATCCCCCTCCCCTTCCCCATCAATCTCGTGCTCCTTCCCCCCGTACATTGGGTAATGAGGGCCACAAGGAGGACGGGCGGATAATCGAATCCCAGCATCGTCCATTGCATTATCCTCCCAATCTAGTATCCATCCATAATAGGATGAGGGGGATCTTTTGCATTAGCGGGGGGTTTCAGGAGGAAACTAATTTTTTCAGGTTTTTAGTAAAATTTAACCATATTTCAGGTAGAAAAACTAGCTAAAAATCCTCAAAAAATGCCAAATTTGGGGATTTTGGGCAAAATTGAGAATTTTTCATCAGAATTTTGCCTTTCTTGACTTTTTTAAAAATTTGTTGAGTTCTTGCTTTTAGGAATTGTGAAAAACAGTTTAGAAACAATTCCTCTTTTACCGTATAAAAATTAGATACTAACGAAAAAAAATAAGTTTTTCACCTCCCCCCGATAATGCAAAAGGACCGCTAAGTGTTTCTAGTCCCTTTAAAGGACGTTGCAATACGGAAATTCCGATACCTTTAACAGCTGCCTCCCTCCCAGGCGCCAAACTACAAGAGGATGTTCCGGGTTGCGTAGAGATGGATGTCTCCCTTCCATGTGTCCATTCTGCTGCTTGTATCGCCATTCTTCGTCCTTCTCGACATTGCATCGCCATTTGCTCGCCCTCACAGAATGAGGCCGACTCGAATGAGACTGAAAAATTAGCTTAAAATAATCCTTTAGTTTAAAAAATACATTTTACAAGATGTTAGCTAATTGGTAGTGCGTTAGTTTCACGTTTTAGCCACCCGGGTTCGAGTCTCGGGCGTGACAAAGTTTTTGCTTTTTGGTTAAAATCAAGGTTTTACGTTACCCGTGTTGCTGCTGCGAATTAGCATTTTAACCCCTCAGTGGCCACGGATTTGCGATTTTAAGAACGCCCGAAGTACTTGGCCAAGTGGTAGTGTGTTTGCCTCACGTTCTAGCTACCCGGGTTCGGGTCTCGGACCCGACAGAGTTTTGCTTTTTGGTTTTATTTTTGGGTCTTTATATTTTGAATTTTTACGCTTTTGAATGAGCATCTACCCCGCTTGCCGGCCCCGAATTCCCATAGCGGCCCCCCCGTCAAAACTCGGCGATTTTGCATAGCCAGCCGCTGGGCTTGACTCGTCCACATAGCAATGCATTAGCATACGGGGGGAAGGGGGAGAAGCTGTCACCAGGGGAATAACCAAGGCCCCACCACCAAAGAGCCGAGGATTTATCGCTCATTGGAATGCCCCGGGAAACGCGACTGCCCTAATGACTTTCAATCCACCCACCCAACATACTACGGATGCATACTATAGACACGCGGCTCTTTTCCGCTTCATTGCTCCTTTAATCCGGGATGGGGAAATATACGAAATATGGAAATTGACTGGGAAAGCGGGGTTTTAAAGGCACGGGCAAGCCGTAACTATGGATTTTGTGGGCTGTGGACTGTCTCGATTTTGGCGCATTCCGACACGCGACGCCCGCCACGTGCCGCACTTCTGGGAATTCCCTATCCAAAAAACCATGAATCCAAAAGCCTTACACGTTCCTTTAAAGGGTCTAAAAAGCGCCAAAATCGACTTCTGTCCTCGACTAGGTCCAGACAGTTACGAAGTACACTAAAAGACGTTGAAAATATATGGGAAACTTCACATCGAAACTTGTGTTTTGGAGCGCCACGTGGCTGTCGAGACCCAGCCGGCTAGAGGGGTCGGTTTTCGCGCTGTCTAGTTCATTTAAAATGACATTGGATGCGTTGCGTTGCGCCAGGCGTTCCTGGTGATATTCAGAAAGTCACACTAGATGCGTCGCTTTGCGTCGCGTGCTGCGCGTTTTCTTGCGGTTTTCGCTGCACGCAACAGGCGTTCGTAGGTGTTTTCGGAGCTGTCACTGCCCCTTTAAGCCCCAAAATATACCTGGTCGGCACTTGTAGCTCATCTGCAAATATTTTCCAATTCCCGGGCAGGGGTCCTCTTCAAAAGTGGCGGCCGCGACATTGATGGTACACTTGCGTCGCTTGTCGCACAGTTCGGAGAGTTTCTGGAAAATCGGTGTTTAAGGTATAATTTTTTTGCAAGACGGCTTCTCCTTGCTTCACGGGATCTTTAAAGGGATTTGAAAGGCATGGCTCTGTGGATTTTGTGGATTTCGTGCCTTCCCAGTCCCTTTAATTCTACCCCAGCCTCGAGCCATCTGATAATGGGGTGGTGTGGATGGGTGGGGGTGGGTCGCTGGTGGGCACCACTTGAGAATCGAGGCCCAATTATGGGGCCCCTCGGGCTGCTCTATACTCCATTAGGCTACCTTCCGTTCTGGGCCCTCTATGTGGGCCTTTATGGGCCCTTAGACCACCGGCCCACTCCCCCCGAATTCTTCTACGCACAGGTATTCGAATGGCCGGAATCGCGGGTTCCGCGCAATCGAACCCCCACTGGGTGGAAAATTGCTTCAAAAAATGTGAAAACTTGCCATAAGATCGCGAAACAGAAGCCTACGCCTAAGCACACTAAGCTGTAGCTTGAGCTCAAGCTAAGACGACCACTAGTTTGAGCATAAGCTGAAGCTAAAGCTAGCTTAAGCCGGGATCAAGCAAAGCTAAGCACACACCTGAGATGAATCAGCTTAAGCTAAATCCAAGCCTAAGCAGTATAAGCTTAGGCCAAGGCTATGCCTAAGCTAAGTCAACGCCTAAGCAGCGTAAGCCTAAGTCAAGCTTAAGCCTAAGCCTGAATTAAGCGTAAGACTCCGCCTAATTTAGTCCTAGGCTCAAGTCTAAACCAAGCCTAAGCCAAGCCTAAGCCTAAGCAATATCTAAGCTAAGACTAAGCCTAGCCTAAGCTTAAGACGAAGCCAAAGCTTGCCCCAAAACCAAGCCTAAGCCTAAGACTAAGTCGAGCCTAAGCCCAATCCTAAAAATCCACAACCATGCCCTGCCTTTCCCACCCCTTTAAACGCGTTTAAACCGGTTGCAACTCCAAAACTCGATATTTGTAAACCCCGGAAACCTCTTACGCCGGCAGTTACCCAACCTCCCGTTGCGGTAATTTGACTTTGGCACGGACAATAGCCGTGAATAGGCGCGTCGTGTAGTGTCATCATGTTCTGTCTCCCTCACCCACCATTCCTCTTCCTCTCATTGTGTCCACCCATCTGTCCATTCTATGGCCAATACATCGCCGCGCCCAAATTGGCCCACCTCGCGCTTTCAGAGGGGGTCTCGACGCGAATTTGACAACTCGAGACGAGGGTGACAGCTAATTCGCGCGGAATTTGAAACTGGCATCCGTTGGGTTAGGTTTAGACGTAGATTAGGCCTGGCTTCGACTTGGTTTAGCTTAAGCTTAGTCTTGGCTTAGGTTTGGGCTTGGCTTAGACTTGGCTCAGGCTTGGCTTAGAATTGGCTTAGACTTGACTCAGGCTTGGCATAGGATTGGCTTCAGCTTAGCTTAGCATAAAACAGGAAGGCATAAAGGCACCATAACCAATTACCCAATTACGCGTTGCGTGCCGCGGTGCACCTTCCGTACCCTCACCATATTTTTCTAATACTGATCCCTGAATTTCCCTAAAACCTGCCCCAAGTACCGTACCTTCGGGCGGCTGATCAAAGCGACACCTTAGTGACTTTCGGGCCCCGGTTTCCCATCCATTCCCCCCTCGGGTGGCCCATAATTCCAGTGTGGGGTAGTGCGGGACGTGGGGGGGGCTGTAAAGTTGTAAGGCGCCACCCTCTGGGGGTGTGAAAAGGAGCCGAACGTAGTGCGCGACGGGGCCAGGAAGACAAAAAGGGGCGTCGGAACGAGGCGGCTTACAGGGTGTCCAAAAAAATTATTCCGGACTTTGGGCTCGAATAACTTTTGATAGAAGAATATTTCACCATGCGTTACCATGCCAAAATGCTTAAAAGTGTCTGGAACTCCGATTTAGATCAACTTGATTTTTTCGATTTTTGAGTACACAACTGTACTATTGACGCTGGTTACGACCGAAAATTGTGCGTTCTTGAATGGGTGGTGGGAAAATTCTGAATTTTGGCCTAAGAATAGCTGATATTTATAGAAAATTAATCCCCAAATATTATAATTTTTGAAGCACTAGCTCTTTTTCACAAGCAAAACAAATTTCACTATTTTGCAGCTTTTTGCCTTTTAATTCGCAACTCGCTTCAAATACGCTGCCCATGGCTGATCTTTTGCAGATGGTGTCACCAAGTGATAATCCTTAGCCCAACACCAAATTTTACCTGATTCTATGGTATTTTAATATTGCTTGCTAAAACGTGCCCCAGAGGGATACTGTAGTTTTTGTTTTTTGCGTTTTTCTTTTTATCGTAAGCTGCGATTTCGCTTAAAATTTTATCATTGGTAAACATTAGTAAGGGTCACCTATAAGCGAAAGATCGCGAAGTTCTAGCCACACACCTTCCCAAAATATGCAAAAAACTTATTTTTGCATTTAGCCACGGAAATGTCTAAATATTTTGTTGCATGGGACCAAAAATTACTATTATTTGCTTTCCCGAAAGGTCGAAACGTTTTTATGGTGAAAAGAACCAGAAAACGACGATTTTCTGTTTTCTACCGTAACCCGTCTGGAGCACGTTTTAGCATGCCAAGACAAAATGCCATAAAATGCAGATTTTTCTATTCTAGAATGTTCTATGAGTAATTATAAGGAAGCAGGCGAAAAATTACTTACTTTCTGTGGTAAATAACAAAGTTATCAGGGAAAGAGGAAAACCCTCCTCGGGGCCCGATTTTTGGATCCGACGCCCTGGCTCGAAAATCGAATTTTTGAAAATGAAAAAAACACCGGGGTTTCGTGGATACAATTAAAGCACGTATCGAACAGTGTATGAGAGCAGAATTCTGGAATGATCTGGCTGAAGTTAATGGTTTATTTTGATTTAAAACCCGAAATTAACGTTTTTGAAAAGCCGACTTTGGGGAGCTCTTCTAAATTCGTTTGCCATGAAAAGGTTTGGCATTTGCATGGGTTCTAGTTGACTACCCAAGCTGAGTTTATGCCAAAAAAGTCGGGGCTACTCAACCCTCGAGAACTTTTTTTACCTCGTCCCGAATGCGGGTATATTTGGACTTTTCATGAATTTCTTTGGAGAAATTGATGGCCAAATAAATTTTGAAATATAATCTTAGAATGCGCCCATTAAGCATTATTAAATAAAATTGTGACAATAATTCTAGCCACGCAAATGAATTTTATCGACTGGCGCAAAGATCTGCGAAATAGCACGAACCAACCGTTTTGGCGGCGCTAAAAGGCAACCTTCCAAAGGGGTACGGTAGCTAGTAATTGTCTACATGATAGATGGACCCCAGTCCTACACAACCAAGCAAAGAAAACACCTAGGTTCTATTCGGAGCTTTAGAAATATTTTTTCAAAGTTCGGTTTTGTCACTTCGAAAAAACCATGACCAGGGGGTCGTTGAAAAACTCGAAAAATCACCGATCGCAAAAATTCTTTGATATGTTTATGTGATAGTATAGAGTATGTCGGCAATACACAACGACTTAGTTTGGGATTTTCGCCATAGGTTTTTTTAATACTCGAAATTTCCGAAATTTCTCCATACTAAACTTCAGTCCGCAATAACTTTTCAACCAGACCTTAGAAAAATCCTAAATTTTGCATGTATCTATCTAATGCCTACAAGAATCTACGCAGCAAAAATTAGAAACTCCCCACCACAGGCGGCTGAGAAAAATACAAATTAAACTTCCCCGAACGCACAGTTTTCGGGTGTCATTTGTATTGATACGTCGCCAAAAATCGAAAAAATCAAGTTGATCTAAATCGGAGTTCCAGACACTTTTAAGCATTCTGGCATGGTAACGCACGGTGAAATATTCTTCTATCAAAAGTTATTCGAGGCCAAAGTCCGGAACAATTTTTTTGGACACCCTGTATGGCCTGCACGCCGGGAAGATGCGGAACGGGGGATGAACACCTGCTTTTCAGGGGGGTTTGAGAAGAGCGATGGACAACGGGAAAAGGTATCGGGGAAAGGGTAAAAGCCGGTATCAAAGGAATGGGAAAGTGCGTAGATTTTCTCTAGATTTGACGGCGCCCGCGACACACAACGCGTAGGCGCGGCAGCGATTTCCCGTTGCGTAATGTCTAGCCACGTCGCTTGTTCGTCGGAATACATTACGCAATGGAAATCCGATAACAAACGACACAAAAACTCGTCAAATAGTCAAAATGGCCAAATAATATCTGCTAGCCCGCCCCCTAAACCTAATAAAGCCTCACCGATTTCGCGTGTATCACATCGCAGCCGAGCGCGGGCGCAAATGGCGATGAGGCCCCGGAAGCGGGCTGTCGATTCGGGCATAATTCAGATGGCGGGACAACTCGCCCGTAGAACCCTAAAATACGTATAATCCACGATTGTTTCAATTTAATAAACGAATTTGGTGCTTTTGCAGTAAGGGGGGAGTTGAATCCAATTTTCCTAATATAAATCGAGAAACCGTTTCTAAAGTTAATTTTTTCACTATTCCGAAGCGTAGAACCTTCAAAATTTGATTAAAAACACAAAAATATCGACTTTTCGGCGAAAAATGTCGATTTTCGAACAAAATCTCGAGTTTTTCATTTTTTTGAGATTTTCCGACACCTGAAACCGATGTAATTTTCCGAAAAGATTTATTAAAATACTTACTATTACGTTACAAGGCATTTCAGAACTTGTTAGATGAAAAAATCAGCCCCCCGATAATGTAAAAGATCCTTTCCTTTGATAAAGAAATTTAGCATTTAACAAGCTTTAGTTTGTTTTTGATGACTTTTAATTTAAAGTAGAACAAACCGGTATCAACGTGAATATGTGTATGACGTGGGCAGTGCAGCGTGACGCGTTCCCCATCACAGGCTTGTACTCGATTTGACGCCAGTGAAGACCACAGGATTTCTAAAGCAAGTTTAGAACAAAATAAAATACTTTAAGCTCGAAAAGCCATTCCATTCTGCCAAAAAATATCATCGGGAAAGCGGATTTTCGGTAAAAAAAACTTGCCTGCTTGTGTTTGTAGACGAAAAGCTATAGGAAAGAAGATTTTTTAGATTTTTTTAAAAGTGCTTAGACAGAAGTCTTGCTATTTCCATGCTATTTTCTTTCTATATCTTTCTATTTTTATTTTCTTGTTTATTTAAGATAATATTGGATAGATTTTCTACTTTTTCAAAAGTTTACAGCACTTATTTTCTTTTTTCTCAAAAATTTTGCGATTTTTTTAGGGTTTTCCATTCATAAATTTTCGAGTGTCTGGCCCTCGTCGCCAATATTTCGCAATACAGAAATCCCAGGATTTCCAGGTGGGCTGTTACTCAGAGCGATGAGATGGCCCCTTCCGGAATTCCGGAAATCCCCCACTTGTTCCCCGGCCCAGGGCCCCGAAACCCCGCGGCCACGCGAAATTTGAGCCCAGGAACGCGGCTGTTTTGCACGGAAGATGATGGGGGTTTTTCGCGACGAACGGAATCTATTGAGCTCGAATTCTTGGGCTCAAAAATCAGCGCTAACTGTTCCTCAATAAACACTGCTGGGCTGCCTTTTTGGTCGGAAATGGTTGAGGTTATAGGAATCCCTGGGGAATCCATAGCCAGATATTTCCTGCCCATTTAAATCGGCTTTTCAAAGCTAATTTTAATTGTCTCATCATCATTCATGTATCAATCGCTAATTTGAAGGTGACTTGGTAAATTTTTCTTTCGCAACCTTTCCATGCCCGGTTCCTCGCCGCAGCTAAGGCTTTTACTTTTTGGCCCCTAGACCCCCCAAACTAATCCAATCTCCATAATACCATTCATCTTGCGGTGAGTGCCCTCCCCCGCTAGAGGCCCCCATCGACTTGTCATCCCGAATCGTCATTTTTTGGGCCGTGAACCGAGAGAGGGTGAGGCCCACCTTAGAGCCCACAACGACAGTTGGCCCCCTAGCTCTTGGCCCACACCATCGGCACTTTGGCTCCCGATTATACAACCGGCACACGGATGGAAAGAGCGAGAGAGAGAGAGAGAGAGAGAGAGAGAGAGAGAGAGACCCCGTGAGTATCTGGTTTCTGGCAGCCAGTGGCGGACTACCACCACCTGCACACCATTCCCCGGGCCACAAATCAACCTGATTACATGGGGGAGGGCTGGTACTCTATACAGTGGATACCTACTAAGCTTAAGTATCTGCCTAAGTGGCCTCAGACATATCGTTCCGGTCCCTTTAAAATCGCAAACCAAGAGAAGAAATTTCACTACCTTCATAAAGCACATCCTCAACTCGTTTCCCATCACTCGACTGAAATAGCAGCAATAGAATAAGCTGCCCAAAAACGGCAGCTCGCATCTGAAACAGCGTATTAAAAAAATGACGAAGAATATTATTAAGACAGCTACAAGAAAGGAAAATAAAAGCATAAAAAATGATAAATGGCGCTTTTGCATTATCGGGGGGCGGGGGCCATTTTTTAGACGGATCCAAATTTTTCTAATATAAATAGAGGATATCTTTCTAGACTTATTTTTTAGACTGTTTGTTTTGTTGTTTTTTGCTTTGTTTGTTTCTTGACTTACTTAAAAAACAAAAATATCAATTGTTCGACCGCCAATGGCCGATTTTTGTCCGAAATTTCAAAAACTCCCTTTCTGCGTTATAGGAAAAAATGTGAAAAAAACCCAAACATCCAAAAAAATTGCTGAAAAATTGCCAAAAAGTAGGGTACCAGCTAGGGAAAAGTTGGGAATGGCGGTTGGCAATAAATTGGAAAGAGGCTTCTCCGGCCATTCGGTCCGGATAGAACAGAGCGGGAATACCAAATAAGGGGGTAGATGGAAAAGAAGATGGGTCAGAAAAAAAAACGAGTGACAAAAAGGGAAGGCAGACGATAGCTTTTGATCAAGAAAATCCATAGTAACAACTTGCCCGCCCCCTTAAAAAGGGACAGAAATAGCAAAAATAAATAGAAACATAGGGTTAATAACAAATTTTTGTAGGTGATCAAGCTTTCAAATTAAAAAAGACCGCTCTAGAAAAAAATTAACTAGTGGGGAATAATACGGCGAACAGTCCCTGGGACCCCCAGGGCTGGATGGTGGGTCCTTGTCTCTAGTAATTGGGGGGGCATGGGCCCTAAGGGGGTGGGGCCCTAGAATCGAGGGAAGGAGGAGGGGCCAGCTGTCCGCTCTATCCACACGCACACTCACCTCATATAAACACGTTTTATACCCTCCAGCCATCGGGCAGGAGATGGATCCGGTAAAAAAACGTATCTAAAGAACCAGGGCTAAGGTTAAGCCTAAGCTAAGCCTTAGCTGAGCCTACGCCAAGCCCAAGTTGCCAAAGCTAAGCCTAAGCCACCCCGAAGCCAAAGCTGGGCTAAGCCTAAGCCTAATAAGCACCGCCTACAGTAAGCCTACAGTAGGCCTAAACCTACCGCAAGCCTAGGCCCACGCCTAAAACTAGCTAGAGCCAACCGCATCCCCAGCTAAAAGAACCTTTAAAGGGACCTGTAAGGCTGGAATCTAGGGCTATGGATTCGTTATAGATTTTGTCGAGCTGCGACTCGCAACGCGCACGCGCTGCTTGCCGGATGTGAAAATCGCCATAACCAATACGTCACGTAAAGGCGGGTTGCACGTTGCGTGGTACAGGCGTAACTACAACTACGATACGCAACGTAGGCGCAATTGTTGCGTGTCGCGTAGCACGGCGTATGGTCTGTAAAATGTAAAAAGGCAAAAAATGCAAGCGTTGCAACCCCTACATACCAATTTCCGGCCTTCCCCGCCGCTGTCAAGAACCCCTGAAAAATGAGCAATTTCCGATGCGCGGCCCCGAAGCTGCTTATGCCCCCCATTTCTATGAGATTTGTTTATGTTGTGGATTGGGTGGAAGAGGGTGGCCATGTCCCCCATCAAGGCCACACAGCGGCCAATTTGGATTAATAAATTGCGGAACGGGGGAAGGCAGAATGGGTCAACCAATAAACGTTACAGGACAAAAAGCAAAAAGAGCAGCTCGGCATGGGGTTTCAACGCGTCGCTTGATTTAAATCAACAGGTTTTTTGGAAAACTCACGATCGAAAACTTCGGATCTTTTGCATTATCGTGGGGGAGGGGGCAATTTTTAGTCCAAAAATGCCTGGTACCCTAATAGCGAGTTTTTAATAGTGTTTTTAGTCAGTTTAACTAAACTTCAAGGGAAAAACTATATAAAAACAGGAAATTTTCGAAAACTTGACCAAAATCGCTGTAATTTTTTGGTGTTGATTCGACTTTTATTGCGTGATGTATTAACATCGTTTGAAACCGCGAAACGGTGCTTTGCGCATTGCAGATGACGCCAAATGCACAAAATCTATCGAGAAAAAAACCCACGTCAATGCCTTTCCCGTCCCTTTAAAACAAGCCGAAACACCCAAGAACGCCAACAACTCGCTAATTGTATCCATTGCAAGCCGTTCGCCCCCTCCCATGACTCATGTAATTGTCCCAAGGCCGCATCTCTCCTTCAGCCCCTCGGGCCGCACGCGATTTTTCCCGAATTTAACGACCATCCGCTTCGTTTTTATTGCCGTCGACCAGCCGGGGGCCCTCGTTGGTCCATCCTCGGCGCTAAACTAGCGGAAAATATGCGGAATCGGCATCTAAGATATGCATCATCATTGATGCATCAAAAATGTGTGGAGATCGACGTCTTGAGCGGGTTATTTCGCAAATGCATCCATATTCAAGTCAAAAAAATTCTCTAAAAGCTTCTAAAATGTTGTAATTTGTTGTATTATTTCTCTTTTTAAGGTATCTTCATCGTCTTATTACTAAAGGATTTATAAACAATGAATAAAGAAATTAAAGATTTGCATTTTCTGTATCTTTTAAGTCTTTACTAAAAAATTAATTTCTCGTAATTTATGAAGTTTTTATGTTAAAAAAGCGTAAACGTTTATCCCCCAGCGAACGAACCAGAACCCACGTTTTCACTTCAAAAATTTATACCCAATTTAATGCCGAGATCAAAATCACAAGATCAGAAATTAAATTTGAAGCACAGAATCACTAGTCGCGGCTACAATGCGGCAAAAAGACCTCCAGCTGCCCGTCCGGCAAAAACAGCCCGTGCAGTCGATAGAACCTAAGTAACCCGTACAACCTGGTTGTTAGGACTTGCCTATCCTCCCGCAAATAATCCACTTTGACGATAGAATCCAGCTCGCCCATCACTTCTTCAAAGATGTTCGGCTTCGGCCACGACCACACCGGCCTGCAAAAAAAATAAAATTTGACGAAAGATTCAAAAAACTTACGTGGCCGTCTCGACAAAATCAACTTCCGGTGCGCCGAGTCGTGCTTTTGAGTCCCTATGCCGGAGCAGCATCCTAAACGCCGCTTTTTTGCCGATCGATCTTGCTTTTTCTGGTATTGATTTTGATTCCATTTTTTTTCTAAGGAACAAACTTTGCAAATATAAATATACAAAGTGGTTCTCAGCCGTTTTTCACCGTCATAAAGATAAAAATCACAAATTTTTTTTCAAAAAAAATAGAAAAATATAGATTTTCGACCAAAAAAAGCAAAAATGCAAAAAGAATCTAGGTTTTTCACCGTTCTTACACTTGAAATATAGTTTAATTTTATTAAAAATACTATTAAAATACGTACTATAAAGTTACTACAACTTTGTGAACTCAGGAAACAATCCGATCCCCCGTTAAGGTGAAAGAACCAAAATATACGATTTGCTTGAAGCCAAAAAATAAATTTACCTCGATGACACGGTGCCAATCTTGTCCTTCAGCCGGGAGACAGGCTGCGATTCGAGCCATTCGAGATATTCGTGAAAGTCTCGCCCAATCTCTTTGTGGCAAACGAGTCTAAAAACCCCTTTTGAAACAACCGACGCAATACAAATTACTCTTCTTTTAACCAGGTTGCCGATTGCTGCGTCTCCTTGTCCAATATCTTGAGGATTGTTGTGAAGAACCTCCGCTCGGCGCTGGAACGCAGACGCATCCGCTTCCTCGGCTTTACAAACGCCTCGAAAATGTGTGGGCGGTCGAGGATGAAGTCTTCTTGCCAAGCAATTGCGTTACTGTCGAGGTTTTCACTAAAAATCGGTACACGTCAGAGATATAAACATACCCTATATAAACAAAATCATGCCATCCTTGGGGTTGTTTGGCGACTTCGGCGAGTAATTTCTCCAGGTGATGTTTTGCGTGGGTGCCAAGTCGAGCTAACTAAAAAGAACTAGAGAATCGTTAAAGGGAGGAATACTGTGGCAAACAGTTCGATGGAAAGCTCGGTTTTCTTCACGTCAACAACTTGAATCGGGGCAATTGTTGGGAGTGGTCCTAAAAACGTAATAATGACCATTGTAACGTTTTCATACCTTTCAATAATTTTGTGGATTTTGCTGGGCGTATCGCTATCGCGGAACCATGATAATAAGAATGCGTCTGAGTTGCTAGCGCGTTGACAAGCTTTTTGGGCAGATACATCTTTTCCACGCGCATTTCCACCTAAATCGTGAATCAAAGTAGAAACTATAGGTCTTCCTACCTCGGAATTGACGGCATATTGCTCTAGCATTTGCTCTGGGGTCAAGCCGACCTTCTCGGGGAGCACTTCGTAGACTTTTCGATCAACCTGCGTTCCCTCCTCTACCTAAAAAGCGATGTATTTTAGGTACTCAAAACCACCAAAAACGCACCGTCATTCTATTTCGCGATACTGCAATGACTTTTCCATCACGCAGACTCGTTATACTTTTATCATAAGTATAAGTGTCTTCGTGTTGATAGACCCAAAATCATGGAATTTAGATTTATTAGCGAAAGTCACCTGCGGATGTAATTCCGGCCGTCCAAGTGACGGAATTTGAAACACAAAATTCTTTTTCAAGTACATGCCTCCCTCCTCTAAAATAAACAATTCTTTCTTCTGTTTCAACACAAACCATTCACGCCGAGAAACGGGTGTTCAGCGGATAGCTGGGTGATCGTCCGCCCAACCGGATTCATACCACTAAAAAAAATATTGTAAACTAAAATAACCAGACTGACGCGTGATCGATAAGACGCATCGGAAATGCGGCCACGGCTCGAATGAATTGAGTGATAACTCGCCGTTCTCCATCCGTTCGATTTTGACACTAAAATCGTGACTTAAAAAAGATTCCCAACTCACAAATCCGCTTTCGGTGTCGTATTTGAAAATGTGCGTCCGAGATCTGATGAAATTCGAGAAGAAGTCCGCGTTGGCGTTGAACAACATCAACTGGTCGGCTTCCTGAGAAGACTGAGAATTAATATACATTTAATTGCAAACCAGCCGATCGAAGAGTGCATCAATCGAAGCCGATCCCTCGCAGAGTAAATCATGGACCTGAAAGACGACAGTAATGATTTTTGTATGAAGAAAATTGTCAGCAATAAGGCGGAAACTCACAAGTTGCAAGCGTTCTGCTTCAGGCCGGTCGAGCTCGTCGAATTGGGCGCACAGCATGCCTGGACCAGGTGAGAAGCCTCCGATATCAACGCGCATCGGAGGGCTATCTAAAATAATAAAATTTCCAATAAAATCAATTAAAGAACGCTTACAAAGAAATTTATAACTTTTAAAATTTTTACAAATCTTTGTCGAAAAATTACGCCATCATACAAAAGACGGGGATTACGCGATGAAAAGCGGCTCTTTGAAATTTTTTTCGTCATAATTTTTTCAGCTTTATTTAGAAAAAAACTTTTTTCTTGAAATATCTCTTTGAATATGTCTATACTTTAGTTTACAGATTTCAAAGAGATGCCGTGGCGACAGGTGGTCAGAGTGGCGCTCGCCGCCGGCGAAGCGCTCGGCAAGGGATTCGCAAGGGCAGTGCAACAGGAATTAAAAGGTAGTTCTCCCAGTACTGCAGAAATTTTGATTTTAGCAACAAAACAAGCAGCTGCCACCCAGTCATCACGCGCAGGCCATTCCAATTCGGAGGCAAAAACGAACCTGGCCGCAAACGCTCGATTAGGGATTTCGCTGGATGTGAGTTTTTTGAGAACAGGCGTTTATTTTGAGATTCAGGAGTCGTTGCAAATCTTGAATGTCAAAGAGCCCCTGGAAGAGAAGCTTGTACAAGAGCGCTATGATCGCCTATTTGCGCTGAATGACAAGAGCAAAGGAGGCAGCCTTTACCTACAATCTAAGGCAAGCTATTTTGTGTACAATTTATCTAGGCTTATTAGGTTTATCGCGCGAAGGAACGGATTGATGAGGAGTTGATGCGGAGGGAGGAGACCCCACAGAAGAAGGAAAACGGGACAAACTAGACATGGCTCAACAAGTGCGCCGAATACGGGTCTTTTTTTATAGCATATGTTTTTCTATTGCTTCTGCTAGTGTTTGATACTCGACTAGTCTGCTTTTACGAAACTATGTGATATTTCTATCGTGTTACCGGATAAAAAGTTTATTGCGACATTTGGATATGAAAAATTTACAGTATATAAGCGGGCACCTCGTGGGGGTAAGCTTTTGGACACTAATAAGGCTCATGAAAGGAGGGAGGGGCGGCAAAGTTTCGGGGTGGAGAATCGGAATGGTGGGGAAGAGGGTGAGGGGATAAATCACACATGGGGAAAGGCACCACGAAGGGGAGAAGAAGCACAATGGATGAGGTGGAACTAGAATGGGGCATGTGTATCACAGTGGGATTGCAGGGGGAAGGCACCAAAGATTTGGGGGAGAAGATACATTATGAATATAAATTAGGGGCGGGGAAATAAATTACAGCGGAGGTGGAGCGTTGCTCAGCGGTGGAGGTTGAGTGGCCATTGGTGGAGGGCTGGAATGGGGGTAACAGATTGTTTGGAAAGACTTACACAAACATCCCCTCGGTCAAATATCCAGCCGGTCGTGCTCCGCCACCGGGTCCAGCCGTGATGGCCTGCGTCCGGGAGGCGGGTAGGAATAGGTCGTGGCGTTGTTCCCTGGAAAAAAAAATTCTAAGCTGATTTTTTCTCGAGGAGGCTAGAGTGCAAGTATTTTAATAGCATTTTTAGCGCATTTTAGGTATATTTCAAGCGGAACCGCAATTTAGAAAACCGAGAAAAGCTCTTGAAATTTTTTCTCGACCCCTGGAAATACCAAAAATCCCGGATAGCTTACTTGTATTGGGCCCAGATAGGGTTAGCGTCGAGTTTCTTCGAGATCTCAATCCCGACCCTCAAGTCCAAGCAGGCCGCTTTCAGGCTATCGACTATCTCAGCTCGGGCGGCAGCTGCCTTTGCGACGCCTAAAAATTAAAATCAATAGTATATAAATGAATCCTTACCAGCCATTGGCGATGCCAGCAACTCCAACAGGAATTCGACGGAACCGGTGGATAGAAGCTGAGGGGCCAGATCGCCACTTTGACGTTGCAGCAGCAGACGTAGCGTGTGCGCACTCTCCCAGATCAGCGCTAAAAGGTTTATTTTCCAAGTGTTAAAATTTCATAATGTAAAAAATTGTTTCAATTTGAAATTTTACAAATTTTTAATCCAATTACACAAAAAGAATCCGCGAATTTCCTCTACCTGGCTGATTCTTCATCGACAGCTTGATCCCCTCGATGCAGTTGAGCTTGCAGAGCCCGTCGGCGCAGTACTGATTTTCGGCCAGCTGCTGTAGGATGAGGATGGCCGATCGGGAAGACTCGGCGTTCTGGTAGCGGATCGCCTCGCAGAAGTGCTGCAGATAGCCCTGGCCGGGGATCTGAAAAAATTAGAATTAGGCTAATTTGGGTGAGCCGAGAAACAGGAAATGCTGTCACCAAAATCCCTTCCATATTTTCTACCGTACTTCAACAAATCGGTCGGTCTCTTGATCTCCTTGTGCATTCAAATTTTTAGGAGGTAACCAAAAATGCAGGAGCTACATGGGATCGAGGATCGTTTCGCCGAGTTGAAGCGGCAGTGTGCTCGAGATATCGATAAGGTAGAAAGTGTGGGCGCTCTAAGCTTTCGCATTCTAGATGTACGCCAGTCTCATCTGCGTCGAATCCCGCATGGACCGACGTGTGCAAGAGGTTCGGGATCTTTCGCTTTAACGGGCAATTTTTCGAGAAAGTTTTCGGCTCCTACATTGTAAAAAAAGCTGCGGTCTAAGAAACCCACGTCCCTTACGAAACCGCCTAGAAACCGCGCCGATATTGGAGTCCTGAGAAAAGTCTGATCCCCCCCCACCCCGATATAGCAAAAGAACCGCGATTCGAACAATGACTTTCTCACGACATTTTTAGGCAAACATGCGTCTTTCCGAGAAGCAATCCACCCTGGCGGTTTCTCCACAGGTATCCATAATTCCCATTCTTTTTAAATAACAAAAAAATGTAGAACTCGTACAAAGCCGCGGCGAGTGCCCTGCCCCAAAAGCTCTACGGTACCATCGAGCTGAGGGAGGCCATCAAGCAGGTTGGGCTACACGCTGACTCTTGAGTGGCTTTTCTTTCAATAGGCTCGCCAGCTGCTGACCGCCATCATGCCCGAGCTGAAGTCGGCGGTGGAGTACGTGCGCACGCCGTTTGTCCGCGAGGAGATCGAGGCGTTCATCCGTCGCGCCGACAACATGCACATCGTCTTCCGGCAGCTCGTAGAGATCAAAAAGTCCAATAGGCAAGTGACGTTTAGGAGTCTCGGATGGAAAACTCTGACGACGAGTCGCGCTTCATGCGTCGCCGGCATACGAAGAGCGAACCGGCGGAGAGGAAGGTGATGTTTTTAGATTTTGACGCCACGAACATCCGGTTTTTTCACTATCGAAATCCCATAGGTCGAATTTTTCGGAATGGCATTTTGCTGATTCCCGGAAGATTTCTCATGCTAAAATTTTCGACATTCTGAGCAAATCCGAACATTCCCAATTCAGCCCATTCCCGACCGTGGCTCGTGCGCTCCGTACGAAGAGCAGCGCATGGCTCAACACGTCTCCACCTCGCTGGACGACTAGACAACGACACAAGGCACCGGAATTAACGAAAAAAATACTCATTCGCCGAAAGCAAGGCATTTTTGGGAATAAATTTTCAACGCTACGCAGGGGCCCATTAATAAAAAAACCAACCGAATCCGCGGTGCCCGGATGGCAGCGCATCAGCTCGACGAGGGCAGAAGTGATCATCGTGAGATCTTTGGTGGGGCGCCGCATTTGTTCCAGCACCTATGAAAATTATAAACCTTGGTAATTTTAAAACCTTGTCGATGAGCTCGGAGCAGAATTGCCTGGGGTGGCGCACCGCCCAACCAGGATTCGCGAGGTACAACCGAACAAAGACGCCAGCAATCACCAGCTCCCCTGAAAAAAGAACAATGTTAAAGAGACACACCTAAACCCGTACCTGACAGCGTATCCGCATAAGCACACCAAGTCTCCTTCGCCACTTCCGTCGTATCCCATTTCGTGCTCGGGTTCTTGCTCTGCTTCTCCATCAAATCATCGCGCTGCGTCTTCAGCAGGTTGAACACCTGGAAGGAAAATAATATAAACTTCAGAAATAAATTACTTTTTTCCTCGTCTCCTCGTTCCAGATCAACTCTGGGTTCTCGTTGTTGGAATCAAGCATCGTCAACCTGAATCCAATGCATGAAAAACATAGCAAGCATACGCTGTATTTGGAGAATCGCGAAGAGCATCCGAGAAGATGGGCGGCAAGAATTTATTGATGAACCTAAAAAAGCGTCCTTTTTGATAGGTCGTTTTTACCTAGTCCATCTGGGACCGGTGAGCTTGTCGGATTGTAGACGAGCAAGAAGTTCGACTGAGAGCAGTCTTTCGGGTCCGGCCACGTCGGCACGATTGGCTTGTAGAGTGATGCAAAGGATGTAGAGTAGCCCGCCTAAACCCGTAAAATAACCAGGTTGCGGTCATACCAAAGTCCAAAATCTCCTTGACGAATTGCCCGTTCGACGTGAAAGCGATCAAGATGGAAAGAATCGTCGGTTGCTCTAAACAAATTGAATCGGATAATCAAAGTTTTTACAAACCATTCAGGCCCGATGCTAATAGAGCGAAGAGCGTCGTGCACACGCTAACCGTCGCCACGTCCGAAGCACATTCCTTGTTGGAAGAAGCCAAAGATAGGACCTTCAGAGCAGCACGTTGCAGATCGGGGCGGCTGTTGCAGCGGAGGTACCGCTTCAGCATGTTGAAATGGCCGATCAACAGTACTTCGACGCCTGAAAAATGTTCGTGATTTCGAGCTTCTTTTCATACCTGGATTCGCCACAAGCACATGGTTCAACGCCGTCAAACACATCAAAACACGGTTCTCGGCTGTAAAGCCGGTGCTGCCCTAAACGGAAATAGAAGATAATTGCTAATCTGTTTTTTCATACCGCTGGCGCTCCCCAATCGACATCGATGTCAATCAAGTCTCCGTTGGTCTTCGGCTTCATCGGGGCACCGCACAACTCATCAGCGTGTTTCCCAATATACTCCAGCAGATCGGCGCCAAAACCTTTTGCATCCTATAAACGGTACATTTTTGATAGCTGAATATCTTCTGATAATATGATAACATGGCAAGGAAGTTCAAGTTCGCATACATCAAGCACAAATGACGGCTGCTCGTTGTAGATGCGGATGAAGACGTCACCGACAATCAGCTCCTTTGCGTATATAGTCAACGAGAATTCGGCCCCGAACAGCTCGCTCTAAAAAGCAAGGTGTGCTCGCCAAGATTTTCAGCATACCGAATTTTTGCCGGCATTCCGATGGCGATCGACAAATTCGAGTAATTCGGCACGGGTAGCGTTGTCCCAGATGAGGTATGGGTTTTCCGTGTTGCTGTTCAGTGTTTTTAGGACCTGAATAGACAATAAAAGAGTTATAAAAAAAACACCCAATACCAGATCACATTCGCCGTTGCGCATCAAACGGGCCGCATATGGCGTCAGCATCGCACGCACGCTACGCCGAACACCGTCATTTTCCGGGCAATTTGCTCTGAAAAAAGCTGTTGAAAAGTCCTTTTTAGGTGTTATTAGAGTTTTGCGACATCACCATCTTTCGAGCTTGAAATTCTGGACAAGTCCCATCAAAATGTGCACAAAAATGAGTTCCCATCTGTCTTCTTCTTCCCCCCCCCCCCCCCCTTGCCCGAATGCCGTTAACGTTTGAATGAGAGCTGCTCAGAATTACAAGCTCTACAGAATGCGCTACATAGCAAAAACTCCAAATGCTCCCTTAGAAACGACCGAAGGTTAGAGAAATTCGGCCCGGACAACGTACCGGTAACCGGCCAGCGAAGCAATTGCCTCTAAACAAGCTCGCCCGAGCCGATTCGCCT